AAATTACACTGCAGTCTCCATTGTTATCACGTCGTCGACCCGCAAAACGATAATAAAGCTAAATAGAAATGAGAATCAAATTTTTTATGTTTTTCAAGATTTATCTTCTCTTTCTCGCTGTATTTGAACAAAGACTGTATAGTTAATAAGAAAAAAAAATTAAACATATGTGAAGTGTGTAAATTAAATTGATTACACTAGAAGGGTATTCGCGAATTTTCGGCGGTATACGTTTTTATTATGGTACTTACAGTATTCTGTTGGGAGACTCTCTCAGACCAGCCTGTCGAGAGTATCAGCTGGTGGAAAATGGATCGATGCAATGTAAAATTGTTGCGCGCTGAATTTTAGTCGTGCCAATACACGAATTCGTGATCTCTCGTATCAGAGCGTTTCCCCGATTCTCTCTGTATAATTCCCCTCTCGTTCCCGTCTATGCTAAATATAATGCTTGTAAACGTTGTAACTACCACCACTTGATTGTTCCATTTCGCGATAAATTACTTTTCTTTCTTCCCAGCAGAACGCAAAAGAAGAAACAATAAAAGGACTGGAAAATTACTAGTTTGCATTCTTCTCAATCTTACTCATAATTTAATCTTACCTTCTCTTTGTTTCTTGGAATTTAATCTCTAGCGGCGATGGCGTATTAGTAACATTGTAGTTATAAACAATTAGAAATTATAATACAAAGGGATTCGATTTAGGCGATAGTAACCGCAGATAGTCAACGAGGCTTCTTCTTCCATCAATCTCATTTTACTTTCATAAATTTCACAGAATTTCTAATTTGAAAATTATTTACAAAGATGTTTAATGTTTAACGCTAACACTCGCTATTCCCGTCTTTGATTGATATAATCTTAGACGCGTTTAAGAGATGGACTTGATTCTCCTTCGCGAAACAGCCGAATGTTAAAGGTTGCTTCAAAGTCCTGTTTTCAAAATGCCGATAGAAAATTCTTCAGGTTTATTCATAGCCAGAATCTAAAAAGATTCGAGTTCGCAGGAAGATTATCTTGATTGTTATTTCATTTCTTTTCTCGTGCTAAATTACTTGCGACTTCCACAACCAGCGCTTATTAGGCCAAACCTTTGATGCTTAAGCTCATTTTATTTTTTTTTACTATTTTCCGACAAAATGCCGAATTATCATGTCGGTGATTTTATTTTAAAAATAAAACTAGATCCAAGTTTTTTTTAAGCCTATCTAAAGCCTCTCAGTAGTAACAATCGAGAGCTCTTCTTAAATGTCCCGCACAAATGTAATTTGCAAAGGACAAATAATAATGATCCTTTGGATCTCTGTGAATAAATTTTGAAAGCGTGAGCGCTTCTTTGAAAAAAAAAATACAATTATCTTATAGATGCCATTTATTATCTCGAGTGGAGTTTCTCGAGTAATTTTACATACTACCTGTCTGTTGTTCTAGAAAGTTAACAGTCTTTATGACAGGTGTTTTTATTTCCCTCAAATTTTTCGAGCTCATCACATTTAAAGTGTGCTAACATATCAACAGTGATATATTCTCCTTATACGATTATACACGATTATATGCGAATTGTTTTTGCACATTTCACATTTTCTGTTTCGCCATCCGCTCATTCGATAATCTCGCAAAAGAGAGATAAGTCAAAAAAAATTAATAGAAACTTAAATCTGTGAGATAGAATCTACTTTTTCTTGATGTCGTAGATGTCTAATTTAAAAATGTTTAGATATATTTTTCTCTCTTTTCCTATTTACAATATAATATTTCTGTATTTCTTTTAATTTAAATTAAGAAGAATAAAAAAATGTTTTTGAAACGTGATCTTTAATCTCGAAAATTAAGTATTCAAAATGAGTTTCTATCAATTTCTCCTGATCTACTTTTTACAAGTGGCACATGTCGATCGTATTTTTTCCGATTCCTCGCGTATCTATCGATCCTTCGGAGACATATGCAATATACAGGGCGTCTCATTTTAAATAATACGCTCAAATATCTCCGAAACGGTGCGTTCAATAAAAAAATATTTTCAAACAAAAGTTGTATGGCTTGAAGGAGGCCATCAGATGGTGGCAATGATTTGATCTTGGAGAGTCATTTGAAGATCATGTGAAGATTACCGTCAACTTCTTAATGGAACTCCCTATTTTTTATTGCATATTCTTGTAGCTTATTTCGAGGGCTTTCCAAAACACTATAATAAAGTATTTCTTTATTGAGTACTTTTCGAGTTAAGGCTTGAAATAATTTCTTAATTTTACATAAACTATAAAATATCTTGTAAAATATTCATTTTTCGATTACCTCACTTTAATACTTTTGTATACAAAATAATGAGAGGAATCAATTGATGTAAAAAAACATAGTTGTTTTTAAGAAAAAATATGTAATGTGTAATTAACAATTACATATTTTTTCTTCGAAACAACTATGTGTTTTCTTTACACCAATTGATTCCTCTCATTATTTTGTACATAAAAGTATTAAGGTAAGATAATCGAAAAATGAATATTTTACCAGATATTATATGGTTTATATAGAATTAAGAAATTATTTCAAGTCTCATAACTCAAAAAGTACTCAATGAAGAAATACTTTATTATAGTGTTTTGGAAAGCTCTCGAGATAAGCTACAAAAGTAAGTAATAAAAAGTAGGGAGTTCCATTTAAAAAATTGAAGATAACCTTCACGTGACTTTCAAACGACTCTCCAGGGTCAAATCATTGCCACCATCTAATGGCTCCCTTCAAGCCATACAACTTTTGTTCGAAACATTTTTTTATTTAACGCACCGTTTCCGAGATATTTGAGCGTATTATTTAAAATGGGACCCCCTGTATGTATATACGCGAAAGAGAGAGTTTGTTTATTGCTATCTTACAAGAGATACTCTCCGATCTACGTACACATGTGTATGTGACAGGATGTATCTATCAATGGATACGTGTGCATGCTTTCGTGTACGCGTGATAATATGGGCAAGAAATCGGCTGGAAATGGAAGTACGCAATTTCGTGAAAGGATTTGGAAGTAAATCGCTTCTCTCTTTCTCTTTCATTGAACAAAGAGATCTATTTTTGACTTTTGCTTAGTTTCTCTTGCGCTTAGGCCGATACCTACTTATTTTTTTTTCTTTTTTTTTTTCATTCAGTCTCTCGTCGTTCTCTCTCTCTCTCTCTCTCTCTCTCTCTCTCTCTCTCTCTCTCTCTCTCTTTCACTCTCACTCTGTCTTTCTCTCGCACATCCCTCTCGTTACATCCAACGCAGTCGCGTATTGCACGAGCACGTTGTAACTTATTCGAATTGTCATATGAGAATCTGATCTCAAGAGTGATTGTATAAAGTACTCTTGAACAGGGAGAGATTTTCATATTTGCATCGTGACTTGTGCCGTCTCGTACATAACGAAAGTGTTAGTAAAAAGTTTCCTTTAAGCTTCCTCGTGTACGTACCCGAGTAATCTTAGTTTGGTGATAAACTCTTTCGGCGACTGTAGAAAAATAAATTGCTACTGCATCGATGATTTCGTGTTTTCTCTCCTTATGTTCACTTTCTTCTCCCTTTTTCTATACGTTTATTTAGTCCCTAAGGATGTGTATTTGTTGCTTTCATTTCCTCTTTATTAAGTTATATATTTATTGTATGTCTCTGATTTGTCGAATACTTCCGTTCGATACTTTGTTCCGTCAAATGGTTTTTCCTCATATCATCCGCTCGCCATCGATTGTCACTCTCGAAAGCACGATCGAGGAGTGAAAATCGACGCGAGTTGTAAATCGGACATGAAACTTGGCGAAGAGTTATTTCGAGATGAGAGCTTTTTTTTTAATTATTATCTGTACTATTTTTTTAAATTATTATCTGTATAATAAAGATTCTAGATTAATGAAAGTCCTGATATTGTGACAAAATCCGCGCATTCTCTAAAAGTGAATCAGTGAAAATATCACTAATTTAAACAGTAAAATAAGATTTCACTGAGAATCAGTGAGTATTTTACTGATCTTCAGTGGACACACTTATTTTTTTGTTATTTTATCTTATATCTCACTGATTATGGTCAGTTAAAATAAAATTCACTGTAAAACCAATAATCGCTAGTTCGTTCGTTTATCGCTACGATCGCTATCTCTCTCGTATTTAATTTTAGTCATAAGAATTATATAAAGTTTCGTTAGTCATAAGAATTATATAAAGTCGCAAAGAGCGATATTTAAAATTAGAAATATTATTTCGATTTAATTTCTGATACAATCTCAATAGAGAGGCTTCAGATATTAAATCGATCTTTATAAGTCGGACAAATAAATGTCTGGCGACTTAATGAAAATTATTCGTTCGTTATCTATTTAAAATAACAAGTTCAATATGCATGTAATATAAATAAAATAAAATTTTTAATATAATAAATATTTAGTAAATAAAAATTTTTAATTTTATATGAAATAGATAAAGAGATAAATTGCAGTTTAATATTACTGACAATAACGAAAGAAATATTACTGATATTGAAAAATATTACTGATTGAAACAGTCAAAATTATTAACTGATTCTTTCAAAAATATCACTGATTTACAGTACTGTACTTATAATTTTAATCATAAGAATTATATAAAGTTTGCAAAGAGCGACTTAAAATTAGAAATATTATTTCGATTTAATTTCTGATACAATCTCAATAGAGAGGCTTTAGATATTAAATCGATCTTTATAAGTCGGACAAATAAATGTCTGGCGACTTAATGAAAATTATTCGTTCGTTATCTATTTAAAATAACAAGTTCAAAATGCATGTAATATAAATAAAATAAAATTTTTAATATAATAAATATTTAGTAAATAAAAATTTTTAATTTTATATGAAATAGATAAAGAGATAAATTGTAGTTTAATATTACTGACAACGAAAGAAATATTACTGATATTGAAAAATATTACTGATTGAAACAGTCAAAATTATTAACTGATTCTTTCAATAAAATATCAACTGATTTACAGTGCTGTACTTATAACTGCTGTCATCAGTGACTATTTACTGTTTTTCAGTGATAATACACTGATTCACTTTTAGAGAGCAAGATGTTCTTTTTTGTGTCAGTATAATTTGAAGAAAGAAATTGGAATCTGCAAGATTTACGACACATGAAGAGATTACTTTTCTATGTTTTTTTCCTGCTTCTTGGTGCTTCATCTGACAAATACATCTGCTATTATATATTTTTCATCACCTACGCGTCTGTTGCCATTTACACGGCGATACATCAAAATATCGTTTCATTCGCCTGTAGTATGTCTCTAAAACCTACTACTCTTTAGTTTTGTTCAAATATACCCTGTACGCGAGTTCGATACACTCTCGCCATTCGTGGGATGCACACACGTACGCATGACCTCTTCTTGTACGCGTGCGTGCGAACGTTATGATAACAAGTAATCAATGCGACTATAATTTCTCCCTTCACATTAATCGATGGATGATATGGTGACGTACGATAATACTCGAAGACAGCTGCAAAGGATCTAAACGTCGATCTTGTCCGATCGGAGCCTTCTCGTCCTTCCTCGAGAGACACGAGGATGCTAATATTTAGAGAGTTCTCTACGACAATACATTTAACTCGCCGAACGTTCTTCAAGAAAATTTCGTTCGGTGTATAGAAATGTCGTCTAAGTTACAACTCGCTGGCTTCTCGTCTCTTTTCTCGCTTTTTCGACGAATGAAAGCAAATTGGACGTTAGGTGCTTCTTCAACAAACATCCAATCTCTGATACATTTCGAAGAAAGATGTAATGGGACTTTTTTTTCCATGGAGATTAGCAACGATTTCCTCGATTTGAGTTAGAGCCTTCATTACATTTATTGATAGATTATCGGATGAGTGGGTTCAACTGGCAAATCGCTGTCCAGGTCCAGAAAAACGCCATCCTTGGAGATGAGATAGTGCGTCAAAAGCTGTCCCTTGCCCTTGACGAATACAAGACCACGTTGTTCGAATCCAAAACCAAATGGTTCTAGTATCCTTCGCGTCTCATCAGTAACCTGCAAAGATTTTTCAACTCTTAAATTTCATGAAATAATATTCATGCACTGAGAAAAATCGTTTGATTGTACCAACAAGACGATATATGATTGAGTATTCATCTGGTAATTCCTACAAGAATTCTGGTTCGTCCATTTTTCAACAGACATACTGGTTGAATCTACCAGAATTCTAATTAATGTAATCAGATTTTTTTCTCAGTGTGTTTAAAGATTGTTTTCAAAGACAAAAATTAAAAATACACAGTAAAAAATTTTGTGTTAAATTTAACATATTTCACATGTCCCAATTTATCCACTCTAATTTTACTGTTAATTTAACAGAAAGTAAGTATGTAAATAAATAACACAAGTAATATGTTTAAAAATTAACACAAAAGTGTAACACTTAAACTTTAACTTTATCAAATAATATGTTTATGTTAAATTAACCTATTTATAATGTTAAATTTAATTAAAAGAAAATGTTATTCTTACATTTTTATGATAAATAACAGAAGAGATATGTCGATCTAACATATGGAAACTGTTATAGAGAGAAAAATAACACAACTTATCTGTTTACTTTAACATATAACATATTTCATCAAAAATTCATGCATTTACATATTAATTGTGTTGTTTTAACTCTTAGAAACGGTGAATATTAACTCAACGCAGAAATGTCAAAATAACGCAATGATAATGTTACATTAACATAAAAATATTAAATTTTTGTGTTAAAAATTTAACACAAAAATTTTTACACGAGAAAATTTTAACAGAAATACAAAATGTTTTTCACTGCGTAAAAATATGATAATATTAATCGTTGATTTATTTCTGATTAAGGCATTTTGGTTAAATCAAACAAGAATTTCTAGTTATCATGATAAGACTCGATTTTTTATAGCTAGAACGTTTCATAGATTTTACTATAAGGATTTGGTTAGTATTTTCTGGTTGAATCTATAAAATTTTATTATTGCATTAATTTCTTTGCTTGCTTCTTAACTTAACTTGTATTCAATATTTGCCATGAAATGTATATAAAGAACTAGTATTAACATTAAATCCAAAGTATATTTTTTTTCTTATACGAGCAATATTGTCAGAAAATGGACGCTAGCTCTCTGATTGTGTGTGTTTGAGCTGCATCCTCTTCTTGCATCACTGTTTATCAGTTTAATTTCTAACAAATTAAATTTAAAATTAATTTATTTAATATTCTGGACAGAATTTATCCAATAATCTTGTTGGAATTCAAAAATATTAAACAAACTTTTGAGATTAGATGGAAAAAATTTGATTTGATGCTGATGAGTTTAATATTATTAACCAGAAAATTTGGTAAATTTAACAGGAAGAAATTAATCAGATTCATCTGGTAATTCCTATAAGAATTCTGGTTCGTCCATTTTCCAACAGACATACTCTCTAAAAGTGAATCAGTGTATTATTACTATAATCAATGTTGTACTTATAACTGCTTGTAATCAGTGAGTATTTACTGTTTTTCAGTGATAATACACTGATTTACTTTAGTGAAAGCAGTATATATACTACTTTCACTAGAATGAATCAATGAATTATCATTGAAAAACAGTAAATACTCACTGATTATAAGCAGTTATAAGTACAGCACTGATTACAGTCATAATACACTGATTCACTTTTAGAGAATACTGGTTGAATCTAGCAGAATTTCTAATTAATGCAACCAGATTTTTTCTGAGCGTGTTCAAAGATTATTTTCAAAGACAAAAATTAAAAAGAAAAATATAGTAATATTAATCGTTGATTTATTTCTGATCTCTGTGATACCTGAATACAGCCGACTTTTCCTGTGCTCTCCATCCTCGACGCGACATTGACAGTGTTGCCCCAAATGTCGTAGTGAGGCTTTCGCGCTCCGATGACACCGGCGGTTACCGGCCCATGATTGATGCCCATTTTTAGAACGAAATGATTGAAGCTCTGCTCGTTGATACTTGACAGAGCCTTTTTAAGCTCTAGAGCAAACTCCACGAGGGTGACAAGATGACCCCACCGGGGACCGTTCTCCGATTGCGTCGATTCCGTTATCCCCGAGGCAGCCATGTAGGTTGAGCCTATCGTCTTGATTTTGATGATGTTTTTGAATTTTTTCTGATCAAGAATCTAACAAGAATATTGAAACAAAAATATTTATTGGGATCAAATCAATCTGTGAAAATTGTTAAATATACGCTTGCAAAAACGCGAATTTTTTCCTTTATAAAATAAATTGTAATAAATTATTAAATATTTAATTAAATTATTAAATATTTAAAGCGTTGGATTGATTCATTTCGTCGAGAAGAAGAGTATCGCGTAGCTTTGCGAGATAAACGGGGGTGAACTTACGGCGTCGAAATCAGAGATGACCTCATTCAGGAACCTGAGGCACTCGAGGCCTTGATTGTTGATGCTCTCTTCGCTGTAGAAGTCCGCGAAATTCGGCATGCTGGCGAACAACACGCCCACCTCGGCGTAGCTCTGACTGTAGAGATCGTCGTAGTGTCTCGCGTGCGACAGGAAATAGGCGGCCACATGAGGCGGCAGGATGTTATATATCAGCGCGCCATTTCTCCGCTTCATGTCAGCTGCCCGTTCTCTCTGCGCCATTACTTCTCGTCCTCGCAAATATAACATTCTTCGTGCCTTCTCAGCCTGATAATAGAGACAAATTCGTCTATCAACGAAATTATCACTCGAAATTTTTCGCGCGATTTTTTGACATAAAGTTCTGACCGAAATTTTTTTCTTGTGTTATACAGGGTGATTCATTTTAATCTTAACAGGCAAATATTTTGAAAAATATGCGAGACACGAAAAAATGTTTCAGACAAAAGTTATATGGTTTCAAAGAAGACATAAGATGGTGTCATTAATCATTTGATAATTAAATAGTTGAAGAACACGTAAAGATTATCCTCAATTTTTTAAACGGAACTGCCTATTTTTTATTACATATTCTTATAGGTTATCCCGAGAGCATTCCAAAACACTATAATTAAGTTAGTTTTCATTAAATACTTTCCGAGTTATGAGACTTGAAATTGTTTCTTAATTTTTTATAAACCGTAAAATATCTTGTAAAATATTCATTTTTCGAGTTGTGTGTTTTGAAAATATGTAATTTGCAATTAACAATTACATATTTTTTCTTAAAAATAACTATCTGTTTTCTTTACATCAATTGATTCCTCTCATTATTTTGTACATAAAAGTATTAAGATAAGATAATCGAAAAATGAATATTTTACGGTTTATGTAAAATTACGAAATGATTCGAAGCCTCATAACTCGGAAAGTACTTAATGAAAACTAACTTAATTATAGTGTTTTGGAAATCTCTCGAGACTAACTACAAGGAGAGAATATGCAAAAGTATATAGGGTATTCCATTTAAAAAGTTGGAAGTGATCTTCATGTGACCTTCAAGTAACTATTTAAGGTCAAAATAATGACACCATCTTATGTCTCCCTTAAAACCATATAACTTTTGTCTGAAACATTTTTTTGTATCTCGCATATTTTTCAAAATATTTGCCTGTTAAGATTAAAATGAATCACCCTGTATTTTTATACCATTCAAATTATAGAAAGATTGATAATAACAAAAATATGTAATCTTTATCTTTACTATCCTACTAATATTCTCTGATTTCGTGGACTTGTATTTCCGTGACGATTGAGAGGAGATGTCTCGTTAAAACGAAAATTCGAGGTGAAATTGCTTTTGCCTCTCTCGGTGATTTTGGCATCGAGCGTATGAAGGATTACGTTGGGTAGAGTGTTATTCAACGTGTATCATGAAAAGCCCACTCGAAAATGACAAATTATCCGAGGTCCAATTTCTCGATTGAACCCAGGCGATGTCACTGCTGTCCGCAAACGGATTATATTTCTATTCCGCACCCGATATTCATTGCCGAGTTATTTCGGAAAATCGTAATAAATCATTCGTCTCATTTTGTCGTGCAAAATAAAGCGATCGCAATAACGTGAGAAAGACAAATAATTTTATCTCGAGATTTTGAAAATAATAAAGCTATATCTACGTAAAGCCATACATACGTATAATTTTTAAAAATACAACATTGCTGCCAATTTATGCGAATAATAATATTTCGCAAACTATTCGATCCGCTTTTGATATCTGATTCTTCGATGCTTGCCTCTCGCGAATTAGACCGTCGACACGATTTTATAAACTCGGGAGAATTGATTGTTCTTTTATCGACATGGCTGTCGATGTCGTCGAAGAAAGGGATCATTTTTGCGAGCCGTTACATTTACCGCGTACTGTAAGGGATGAAAAGTCTAAAAGGGAAGAAAAGTCGATTTACGCGAATGTAAAGCCATATATCTGTCCATTAAAAGTTGCAGCAGTCGACACAGTCGAGTCGAATTTTTTTAAAAACGCGAAGATTTACGCCGTCATTTGAAAAATCGCGTACTAGATATTAATCCATTGTGATTCCAACATATCGCTATTAACGTAGAATGAATGCTGCGAAAAAAATATCCAAGACCTTTTTACACTGAGAAAAATCGTTTGATTGTACCAACAAGACGTAGAAGTCTAGTAGAAGGTATTTTGGTTAAACCAAGTAGAATTTCTAGTTATTACGATAAGACTCGATTTCTTATAACTAGAACGTTTAATAGATTTTACTACAAGGATTTGGTTAGTATTTTCTAGTTGGATCTATAAAATTTCTTGTTACATTAATTAAACACAGTGATGCCATTTTTGTTGTAAGTTTAGTATTATTACTAAGAAAATTTGATAAATTTAAGGGAATGCCAGGGAGTCCTGTTTTAATAGGATAAAATGTCATATTTCATTTTTGTCCGAAATCTTTTTATTAGTTGCACAAAATAATAAATGCTCCTCCACGATTAAAGTACATACAGAAATAAAGCGGGAACCTTCGGATTTTATATTAAAAATTTTTTTAAATTGAAAAATCGTAAAAAGGTCATAACAATATTTGCTTAAGGATGTATTGGACGGACCGTCTGTCTCAAAAGTTAATCCAAAGTACCAAAAAATTAAAGTTGGGCAGAATACGAATTCTAATTGACGAAAAATTTTTTAAAAATCACGAAATCATACTTCAAAGTATTCTTTAATATAAATAGGTCTTAATTTCCAAGAAAATGTTGCCACGTTTTATCATCAATATTGCGTCAAACCGATTATTTTTTAATAATAATTTCAAAACGAGCAAGTAAATCGTTCCAAAATTTTGTGGGAACATTTTTACATGTATGAAGAATATAATATCACAAAATGGAATTTTTATCATTGTTTTTTTATAGTTTGTAAATAATTTATTATCATAATTTATTAACATAAAATGTTGCCACGTTTTATCATCAATATTGCGTCAAATCGATAATCACAGTTATTTTTTAATAATAATTTCAAAACGAGCAAGTAAATCGTTTTAAAACTTTGTGGGAACATTTTTACATGTATGAGGAATATAATATTACAAAATGAAATTTTTATCATTGTTTTTTTATAGTTTGTGAATAATTTATTACCTGTCTCTTGAACGTTTACATAAGATCCTATGTTAACATCGCAAAATTCAAAAATTAATAACTTTTAAAGGAGCAAGTAAAAAAATTTGAAATAATTTATGACGATTTAGAATGTTATTAAGAATGTTAAATTAAAAATTCACGGCTATCTCATTGATTGTAATATATCTCCAATACATCCTTAATGCAACCAGATTTTTTTCTCAGTGTAGGAAAAACACTTTACTTACGTATCTCGCCACGATGATTAGCGCGGTCGCGACGACGAACAAGGTGGCTGCCAACGAATATTTCAGCGGGAAGGGCATCGATCGCCCATAAGTATTCGATGCCATGTCCTCCCTGTCGAGGCTCGATGCAAGGAACAAAATGTTGATGCAGGACTGCGTGCCAGCAAGGAAATACATCAGGCACGCCTTGGTCAGGTAACAGAGGTACGTCGGCATCGAGATAGCGATGAGCGCGAGGACGCCGATGTACGAATAATACGAGGGATACGGACATCGCGAGGCCCGCCAGTTTGTGACCACAATTAGCGAGGTATTCTTTGGAGGCTCGATGTCGTCGATGATCGCACAGTTGGTCTACAAACAGCATGATTAATGTACAACTGTTCGCAAGACTTGCATTAGAAATTAAAACGTCCTTTTTGGAGATATTGAAGTAACAATGAAATAATAATAAAATATTAATAAAATAATAAAATATTAAATATAATATAAATAATAATAAAGTATTTTTTTATTATATAATATATAATAAAAAAATTAATAAAAAAATTAAATAATTATATAATGTAAATAATAATAAAATATTTTTTCATATTTCAAATATTTCGTTTCAGACTTTTGGGGAGAAATGTGTGATGCCAGAATTACAATTATGTTATATTAAACATAATAATTAAATTAATTAAATATAAATAATTATGTTATATTAAAATTAATCTATTTCTAGATGTCTGAAAAATAGAAATATTTCTAATATAGTATTTAAAGGAGAATATTACGATCCTTTTCAGTCTTTATTTCAAGAAAGAAAAATATCATATTGTACTAGAAAATTATTACATCATGCGAAAGAAAAATATTGTACTAGAAATATTTTTCTTAAATATTAAAAATCAAAAATATGAGGGACATAAAAGATAAAAAAATATTATCTTTGTTATCTTATTCTTACATATTTTATTAGTATATTTTATTTAGCGTCAAAATATAATATTGAAAGTTACAATATTGCTACAAGTGACTACATGTATCATTAGATTACTGTTAATAAATTTCCCGTGGAGTCAAGTTGCAGCAACAAGTATCGATTAAGAGACCAGTTGAATTCTTACCATGTCCAATAACAGAAATATTATAAGGGAGAAAGTCATTAGGAGGGCGAGAGTGCTCCTGAACCACGTCGCCCTGACGGCGCTGGCCAGACAAGTGGCCCCAGCGAGCACGATGCCGAAAAGGGCGACTACGCCAGCACCACCCCAGGTGAACGGTCCCCAGGGCTGCAGCCTCCAGGCCGGGGCTGCGCACATCGTCACCAGAGGCCCGCCGAGGAGCGACAGCGGCGAGAAGGCCTCCAACGTTTCGTGAAACGCCGTCTCCACTCCCGGATCCTTGAACCGTAGGGTGAACCAGGAGACGTGACCTTTCAGGTCGGTAGCACCACCTACGAGTGTTTGTGCGCTGACGTCACGTTTAGGCTTGAGCCGTTAATGGGACGACCGGATGTCCGGTGATTAGCCACTACGGATTATCATCCGGTCGATCCCCACCGTCGAGATTAATCTCTCGTTCCAACTTACACCCGAAAAATTTGATTTGACGAAAATGGATTTCGAAAAATTTTCTCTTTCTTTTCAAGATGAAATTATTTTCCACAGATATAAAAGCTTTTTCTCACGCAATTTTTCAAATACGTTGGAATGATTTTTTCGTCATCAATGTTTGTCGCGTAGTTAAGGATGTTTTGTACAATTCGAGCAAAAAGTAGCTCAAAATCAATATTGACGAATATATCCACTTTTGGTGTATTTTGAGTAAGAAATTGCGTGGAATATTACAATTTGATCAGAGATGTATTTTTTAATATTTATTGCGATTTTAATGAAATATTCCGAATTTTATTAATCGAAATGATTGACAGAGAACTTTTGACAGAGAATTTCGCCTTGTGACAGATACATGGTTAACTTCATTGAATTATATTTAATATCTTTTTAATCAGTTAGTACTTGTATAATATTATTTGACCAAATATTTCCTCTGTATCTAAACTTTTGCAAATTTTAAACAAATTCTGAATATTATTTCCATGTGTTTTTGTCATTTGAATGACGTGGTTATACGTTTCCCATAAGAACGCATGTTAATTCGGTGCAAATTAAAATCCGTATAACTTGTGAACGCTTTAGTGAATCGATTTAAAAATTGTACTAAGGATTCTAAACATATGTAAGGACATTCTGTACAATTTTTATTGAATTCTTAATATTTTGAAAATAGCTACAAAACGTCCTTAATCGAAATGATTAACTTTTGGCAAAGAATTTCGCCTTGTGACAGATACATGGCTAACTTCATTGAATTATATTTAATATCTTTTTAACCAGTTAGTACTCGTATAATATTATTTGACCAAATATTTCCTCTGTATCTAAACTTTTACAAATTTTAAACAAATTCTGAATATTATTTCCATGTGTTTTTGTCATTTAAATGACGCAGTTATACGTTTCCCATAAGAACGCATGTTAATTCGATGCAAATTAAAATATAACCGTATAACTTGTAAACGCTTTAGTGAATCGATTTAAAAATTGTACTGAAGATTCTAAACATATGTAAGGACATTCTGTGTAATTTTAATTAAATTCTCAATATTTTGAAAATATATACGAAAGCAGAGAATAAATAATCTCAAAATGCATGCATAAGAAAAGAGGATTTTGTATAAAGAAAAAAAAAGAGTAAACATATCGAAGGTTTTATTATTAACACGTATTATATAATGTATAACTGAAATTCACGTTCGGAAAATATTATAGATTTGCAGAGCTGACATTAAATGAATTGTACATGCATAGTTAAAAATGTTCAGTTATACTTCTTATTAGTATACTTTTAGCAAATAAACGTTGAAATATTTCATAACGTCATTGAAATGAATTATTTATTACACTATTGTATCGATAAAGTATTTTTCTTCAACGTATTTATCAAGAGAAGTGAGGAATTTATTAATTATTATATCAATTCCATATAAAATTTAATTAACATACGTACGTATGTTATTTTGAAATAATATTTTCTGACAGATTTGTTAATATCTTAAAGTGTATCATAAGAGATGACTTTTTTCGTAAAATATCAAATGATAATTATATGAACTTTTGCGCTGGTTATTGTGCGCGACTATAATTATCCGTCAATTTTTACAATATTAACATCCGGTTTGCTGTTGCAGTAAAATATATTTACACTTTCTATCTACGTTTCCCATAAGAACGCATGTTAATTCGGTGCAAATTAAAATCCTTATAACTGTGAACGCTTTAGTGAATTGATTTAAAAATTATGCTGAGAATTCTAAACATATGTAAGGACATTCTGTACAATTTTCATTAAATTCTCAATATTTTGAAAATAGGTATGAAACATCCTTAAATGTTAGTCGAGATGAGTGTCACTCGCTCGAGCGTCGATTGTAATCAGCGTCCGCATCGATAATTGGAGCACCCAAGGAGAGTAGCACTTGGTGAACGCATGCGTGGATTTTTAAGCCTCTTACCGAGAAGCATGATATTGCGATTTAGTCTTTTAATTCTTTAAAATTCTTTTAATTCTGTCGAATTTTTTTTTAAAGCGTCCCGCGTGTGTCTAACTGAAAATGTAACCGATGCTAATTTTTACCTCTACTGTCGAGCTTTTTTCTTAGACGTTGCTGAAATTCCTCGGAATCCTCTTTACTATTGTCCCCTTTGTCTTGCGCGTTCTCCATTATCCTTTGCGAATTCTCCGCGTCCGCCAACGACGCGAGGCTCTTCGTTACCGCTGGTTTAAATGGCTTCAAGGCTCTCACTATAAAGTAAGTGACAAGGCCGGCCTTTTGGAGTGCCTCTTCCCGATCCTCCCCGTGCGCCGGCTCGACCTCGAATTCTCCGTTTAGGAAGCTCAACGTCGCGTTCGAGATATGCACCCTCCTTCAAGCATTTATTTATATACGTTTTCGATACATAAGCGCGACCTCGATACAACAGATAAAAAAATAGAAACTAATATATCACCTCTAAATATAACGTTTTAAATTGTCTCCAATAAAACGAAACGCACTTGACTGAGATATTGATTAAGAATTTAGATTTTCCAATTCTCTCTAACTTTTCGAATACAAGAATACGTTCAGAAATTTAACTGGGTTCTTACCCAGCCCTTCCGCTGCTCTCCATCTTGTTCGCCAGCTCGACGTCCTTGCTGTAAACGTCAAACTGCCACTGTCTCTGACCAAGAACCCCGGCGAGCACCGCGCCCGTATGAATGCCCACCCTCATATCGACAGAACTGTTCGTTATCTGTTGAACATACTTGATGGCCTCCACCATGGATAGACCCATGTATACGCAAAGGACCGCGTGGTCCGGCTTTTCGACGGGCGCACCACTTATACAGTAGTAACAGTCCCCCAGGATCTTGATACGCATTTGCTCGTATCTACGAACAAGATTTCATACACGTGCTGTACACTTGGTTGTCATACGAACATTTTCATTAACCCTTTCGTACCTCCGGACATATATGTCCCACCTACGAAAAAATTCATAACTTTTGAACAAATAAGCCTATCGACTTCTACCTTAACTTGTTTTAAAGAAGAAGGTTCAAGCTATATGTAAAAAAATAGCGCACTTTAAAATGTAATGTTTACAGTACAATATAATTATCTAAACTTTGCAGAAAATCAAACTTTTAGAGAATTAATTACAAACTAATTATAAACTTAATTATAAACTTAAATTATAAACTAATTATAATTTAATTATAAATTTAAAGTTTCATTTAGAGATGTTTTGTATGTACGATCCCAGCAAAAAGCTCAAATCAAGCTCAAAATCAACATTAACGAATATATTCACTTTTGGTGTATTTTGAGTTTGTATTTTGTATTTTGAGAGAAATTGCATGGAATATTACAATTTGATCAGAGATGTATTTTGTAATATTTATTGCGTTTTTACTGAAATATTCCGAATTTTGTTAATCGAAATGATTAACTTTTGGCAGAGAATTTCGCCTTGTAACAGATACATGATTAACTTCATTGAATTATATTTAGCATCTTTTTAACCAATTAGTACTTGTATAACATTATTTGACCAAATATTTCCTCTGTATCTAAACTTTTGCAAATTTTAAACAAATTTTGAATATTATTTCCATGTGTTTTTGTTATTTGAATTGACGTGGTTATACGTTTCCCATAAGAACACATGTTAATTCGATGCAAATTAAAATCCTTATAACTTGTGAACGCTTTAGTAAATCGATTTAAAAATTGTACTAAAGATTTTAAACATATGTAAGGACATTCTGTACAATTTTCATTAAATTCTTAATATTTTGAAAATAGATACAAAACATCCTTAAATGTGATTACAACAACTTTATTATGATAAATATTATAATAATTTTTATGTGTAATCAAAGTAAAACGACGTGTGTGACGGACATCAAAGTCTCGCGGCAGATGCGCGGCTTACAAAAAAAATGTATAACAACGCTATGAAGCGAACGTGTGTGTATATATTGTTAAAAAAAACATAATATATATTTAAAAATAAATCAAAATAAAATCAATACTCATATTTTAAATATATTAATATTTAAGCTTTTATTGTCGCCATTTTAAATCTGCCATTTTGAATTTAAATTTTGATTTAAATTTTAAAAAAACATAATATATATTTAAAAAAATAAAATCCAAGGTCATATTTTAAATATATTGATGTTTAAGCCTTTTATTGTCGCCATCTTGAATCTGCCATTTTGAATTTAAATTTTGATGGTAAATGTGGAATCAGCACCCCCAAAAATCTGTAAAACTGTCCTTACGTGAAACACATCTCTTTTGGGAAAGCCGGAGGTACGAAAGGGTAAATTTGTAGGGAGAAAAAATATTTTTCAGCTCGAAAAATGCGCCCGATGCGATCAGCAAAAATGGTAAACGCGACGTTGGACGATAGCATGAACTGCAAAGTGTATTTGACGGCGACAGAAAACGTTCCCGGGGATATCGATTGCCGGTGTCCTCGAAGGACCTCCCCCTGCGACAGGATTTACGTAGTAGTCGGCTTAGTCGAGGAAAGAATCAGCAGGGAATTCGCCCGGAATGGAATCAATCGTCGTCGCGTTGATCGCGTGCAATTTTCGTTTTCCCCGGGCGGAAATAGAACGCGCGAGCTACGGAATTCTATCATTTTACCGAGTCATTTTACGATTAGCATTCGATGGCACGCGAATGGCCTCGCTTAATATATACATTGGATAATAGAATCATAAAGAATTTCCTTGCAACGCGCAACATGACAGACATCGCGGTGTGTTTCTTTTTTTCAAATATAGTTATCCTTCAATTTCACTAACGATATCATATGATTCAATTTCTCCCTTAATAAATAATGAAAAAATTAATTACTAGGAAAATATAGTTTTCCGATAGAGATCTACTACCTACGACAACAGCGTTTCTCAACTCGCGTGCGTGATACACTTTCCTCCTAAAATCGATAAGCATTGAGGTAAAAGACGTAAGAAATAAAAGTGAGAAATTAAATTTAATATTATTAAACATACATTTTATTCTGGACTTGACGTTAAAGATAAATTGTCTATTAATAATATCGTTTTTAATGAAAGTTCTAAAAATAAATACCGTTCACTGAGCTGATCGAATCGCGCGAACAGCTCGTTGAGTATCTTGACGAGCTCGCTGGCGCTGTAGGTCGACGAGATCGCGGTGAAGCCGACTATGTCGGCGTAAAGTATCGACACGTTCTCGTGCCTAGACATGTAGATCTTCTTGAATTGCGTGTCGAGGGACGCGCCGAGGTCCTGCCGCATCTTGACCGCGACATGCTCGGGAAGAACGCTTAGCAGCAGCCGTTCCTGCTCCGCGCTCTGCTCCTCGATCATAAGCTGGACCTCCAGACTCTGTCTGGTCTCCAGGAATGCCCGGCGTTGCTGGAACTCCGCCAGACAGTAGCTGCAAGCGCCCAAAATAGCGGCGCCGGCAAAGAGTGTCACCGTCAGGATCTACAGGACGTTTTTTAAAAGTGACTTACGAGTGTATCTTGCTATGCAAGGACGAACTGATCGCGAGAACCGGCGACGAGTTCATTAGGCGCTTTTTTTTATTAACACACTGAGAAAAATCGTTTGATTGTACCAACAAGATGTATATGATTAAAGACATTTTGGTTAAATCAAACAAAAATTTCTAATTATCATGATAAGATTCGATTTTTTGTAACTAGAACGTTTAATAGATTTTACTATAAGGAATTCGTTAGTATTTTCTGGTTGGATCTATAAAATTTCTTGTTACATTAATTTCTTTGCTTGCTTCTTAACTTAACTCGTATTCAATATTTGCCATAAAATGTATATAAAGAACTAGTATTAACATTAAATCCAAAGTATATTTTTTTTCTCTTACGAGCAGTAATGCCAGAAAGAGGACGTTAGCTCTCTGATTGTGTGTGTTCAAGCTGCATCCTCTTCTTGCATCACTGTTTATCAGTTTAATTTCTAACAAACTGAACTTAAAATAATTTATTCAATAATCTGGATTAAATTTATCAAATAATCTTGTTGGAATACAGAATATTAAACAGACTTTTGAGATTAGATGGAAAAAATTTTAGACGACTAGGTGCTAGTGAGTTTAGTATTATTAACCAGAAAATTTGGTAAATTTAACAGGAAGAAATTAATCAGATTCATCTGGTAATTTCTACAAGAATTCTGGTTCGTCCATTTTGCAACAGATGTGCTAGTTGAATCTATCAAAATTCTAAGTAATGCAACCAGATTTTTTTCTCAGTGTACAAAAATATATTTACGCACTGAGAAAAAATGATTGTACCAACAAGACATATATGATTAAAGGCATTTTGGCATTAAATCAAACAAGAATTTCTAGTTATCATGATAAGACTCGATTTTTTATAACTAGAACGTTCAATAGATTTTACTATAAGGATTTGGTTAGTATTTTCTGGTTGGATCTATCAAATTTCTTGTTACATTAATTTCCTTCCTTGTTTCTTAATATCTAACTCGTATTTAACTCGTATTCAAACGTATTCAATATTTGCCATGAAATGTATATAAAGAACTAATATTAACATTAAATCCAAAGTATATTTTTTTTTTCTTACAAGCAATAGTGCCAGAAACAGAACGCTAGCTCTCTGATTGTGTGTGTTTGAGCTGCATCCTCTTCTTGCATCACTGTTTATCAGTTTAATTTCTAACAAACTGAATTTAAAATAATTTATTCAATAATCTAGATTAAATTTATCCAATAATCTTGTTGGAATTCAGAATATTAAACAGTTTTTTGAGATTAGATGGAAAAAATTTTAGACGACTAGGTGCTAGTGAGTTTAGTATTATTAACTAGAAAATTTGATAAATTTAACAGGAAGAAATTAATCAGATTCATCTGGTAATTCCTACAAGAATTCTGATTCGTCCATTTTCCAACAGATGTGCTAGTTGAATCTATCAAAATTCTAATTAAGGCAACTAAATTTTTTTCTCAGTGTACAAAAATATATTTACGCACTGAGAAAAATCGTTTGATTGTACCAACAAGACGTATATGATTGAAGGTTATCATGATAAGACTCGATTTTTTATAACTAGAACGTTCAATAGATTTTACTATAAGGATTTGGTTAGTATTTTCTGGTTGGATCTATAAAATTTCTTGTTACATTAATTTCTTTGCTTGCTTCTTAACTTCACTCGTATTCAATATTTGCCATGAAATATATAAAGAAAAAATTTTGGACGACTAGGTGTTAGTGAGTTTAGTATTATTAACCAGAAAATTTGGTAAATTTAACAGGAAGAAATTAATCAGATTTATTTGGTAATTCCTACAAGAATTCTGGTTCGTCCATTTTCCAACAGATATGCTGGTTGAATCTATCAGAATTCTAATTAATGCAATCAAATTTTTTTCTCAGTGCACTTAATTACAAATACAGTCGTGTCACGAAGCACATAAAAAATTTATCCTTTTTTTTTTAAACGCTTATATTTCAATGACGGATCATAAGAAAGGAAATTTATGAAACAGCTTGTGAAAGGCTTGCGAAATCGAAAACTAATATTATCAGAGCGTTTTCCTGTGGATATAAATAACACACTTAATATTGTAATATCAGAGAAATTAAAAATAGAATGCAGATAAGAGAGAGTCGCGAGTTATCTGCGAAACAAAAATAGAGAGCAGCTTCGCACAACGTTGTTTCCGTCAATAGCAAACACAGTCGATATCTCGAGCGCAAGGTCACTTTTCCGGATTCCATCGGATGGTCGGATGGTCCTCTATTCCCGGAGAAAAACCATCGAGCGTCGCGTATCGAAAGGCAACCTCGCGCATCGTTGCCCATCACCATTCTTTCACACTCTCACTCTTTCTCTCTTTTACACCATTTCGCTCTCATTACATCGCGCCTCTATCTCCGTCGCGCTCTCTATTTTAAACTACCATTGACCAAACTCTACTCGAGTGTTACTAACGACGAGAGCCACGTGCTTGCGCGTCTACTTCTAGCTTTCGCTTTCACACGATACCCGCTGCCAAAAGTTTCGCACGTCCCGGTCGATGCACCTGTACTGTTTACTATATCAATGCTACGCTAGATCAATCACGACCCAATTATCCGTTAAAATTTCTCGATAAAGACAAAGTTGTTCGATATTTTGTGCTTCAATCGTGTCCGAAATACGTTAAAAATCATTTTTATTCCGTACTAGATTCTCATAGGTGAATGAAAAATAAAGAAAACGCGATATTTCGTGTAAGATAATCTCGGCGAATTTTGAAGCCTCTTAACCCTTTCGTATCTCTAAGACATATATGTCCCACCTACGAAAAAAATCATAACTTTTAAACAAATAATCCTATTGACTTTTACCTTGACTTGTTTTTAAAGAAGGTTCAAGCTACATGTAAAAAAAATCGCGCACTTTGTAATGTTTACGATAAAATATAATTATCTAAACTTTGCGAAAAATCAAATTTTTAGAGAACGAAGCTTAACCGTATATTAATCGAAAAATTATAGAATTTATGCGCTAATTATAAACTTAAAGTTTTATTTAAATGTGATTACAACTTCGTTACGATAAATATTATAATATTTTACATGTGTAATCAAAGTAAGATGACGCGTGCGACGAGCATCCAAGATGCGCCGCTTGCAAAAAAAAGTGTATAATAACGCTGCGAATCGAACATGTGTGTGTATATTCAGGAAAAAACAATATATATATTTTAAAATAATATATAAAATAATATATATTAAAAAAAATAAAATCTAAGCTCATATTTTAAATATATTGATATTTAAGTCTTTTATAGTCGCCATCTTGAATCTGCCATTTTGAATTTAAATTTTGATGGTAAATTTGGAATCAGCACCTCCAAAAACCTATAAAACCTATAAAAACCTATAAAACCTATAAAACCTATAAAACTGTCTTCATATGAAACATATCTCTCTTGGAAAAGCTGGAGGTACGAAAGGGTTAAATCCCAATGCAGACTCTTCACGTAATTCGATAATAGTGCTATTCTCTTCGGGATTAAATAGAAATTGCAAGGGAAAGCGAGATGTAGAAAATAAAGCAATCACCTCGACAAGTCTCTCGACTTGAAACATCTTTCTTTCGTTCAACTTACGTCACGTGCATTTGAAACCGCAACTCTGTAAGGTCGTAGTCGTATTGAATACGTTACTCGCAGAACAAAGACATTACGAACTTTGCTGACGATACACTGCGATGCTATTATCGCTGCAGCAATGATATTACATTGCATACCAGAATCGATAAGACAAGCCTATACATGGCGAGCATAGCGTTGTACGTATCATTTTATGGATTATTAATAATTTCACAATTTTTTGCAGTAAAAAATAATATACACGATTAATTAATATAAATTAATATAAATCTCTAATAAATAAATTAATATGAATATAAATAAAAACAATATATATTAATATATATGAACAAATATAAATTAATATAAATCTCTAATAAATTAATTATCTCGTCGTTAGCGAGACAGTTTTTTTCGCTTACTTAATAATAAAATAAATAATTTATAAATAAGTTACGCGATTAATATATAAAAAGAAATAATCAATAGCTTTTCCTCTTGGTCAATTTTATTTTTACTTCAAAAATGACTAAGCAGATGAATTAAATTACCGATGATTCACTGGATGACTGGATGATTGGATGCCAACAAAAATCGCGAAAAAGAATTCATTTGCAACGTCCTTGATCTCGGCGCGACGCATATATTGACGCAATAACTTGCATCACCATCAATATACAAAAGTGTCTAGGGTCAAGAATTACGACCGTAAATAGCACATAATGCATTTGCAATTAATAATGTTTATCTAAATATGTCAGTCGCAATAGGTTACTCGTTTTACAAACTTATCTCATCTCTAATAAAACAAATCCACCGCGACATTTACGTGTGTATATTTTTTTCTTTTATGCGTATCGATTTTATGTATCTTGAATGGTTTTTTGAAGAAGACGGAACGATTTGCATCGCGATTTTATCTCGTCTAGCTTTTTACCGATTTTCGATTTTTCCTCGTGAATGAGAATTTTTGTAAAAAAAGAACGCGATATCCAACGGTATCTCTCTTTTTTCCCAACTGTATATTATCACGTATTCGCGTAAAAGTAGCGACGATACGCCTCGTTGAGCGCGGATCGATGTTGGTGTACGCGTCGTCGGTCCTCGGTTGGCAATGAATTAGTTTGTCGATGTCGGCGTCGGCGACATCATTGTTTCCATCCTCCGCGTGCATCGCGTTTCATCCCTTGAATGCAATTAATACGGGCGCTATTCGTCGCTTTGATTTTTCACTTCATCACGCGCGATTGTACTCGCGTCACTTCAAAAACGCTCCCATATCTCGCGAAGAGAGCGCGCCGATTTTATTGTCCTACCGAGTCGAGTTTATTGTCTCTTCCACTATCGTGTCATCTCTATTTTTTTGTGACAGCTATCGATACGCCGCGGTATCTGCACTCTAAACACGCTATTTTATCACGCCGTTTTTAGGCCTGATTAAAGAGACGTGAATCATTAAATATAGAATGTACCGTATACGAGTATTTAAGTTATTTTTAATAATCCTATAAAGGGGTGCTATAAATGGAAGAGGGAGTCATGTGACGAATTACGTTAGCTTTCGCAGAACTAGCTCTCGCATTGATTAGAATGATGAGTTCGTTTCTCGAGATGCGTTTAAGAATCATAAAAAAGCTCGTCTCCATCAACAGTGTTTGAACTTTGACGCCTTCGCCACGCGATTCTTTCGAGCGAAGAGGAAGAGAGGGATGGCTCTCAGTTGTAACCCTCTCTTAACGATCCGCCAATCCGGAGAATTCAATCGCGGGATTTCTGGCCAACGGATGTGCGAGACAAGATATTTACGCGGTTAGCTACATTGAGAAAAATCGTTTGATTGTACCAACAAGATGTATATGATTGAAGGCATTTTGGTTAAATCAAACAAAAATTTCTAGTTATCATGATAAGACACGATTTTTTATAACTAGAACATTTAATAGATTTTACTATAAGAATTTGGTTAGTATTTTCTGGTTGGATCTATCAAATTTCTTGTTACATTAATTTCTTTGCTTGCTTCTTAACTTAACCTGTATTCAATATTTGCCATAAAATGTATATAAAGAACTAGTATTAATATTAAATCCAAAGCATTTTTTTTCTCTTACGAGCAGTGCCAGAAAATGGACGCTAGCTCTCTGATTGTGTGTGTGTTTAACTGCATCCTCTTCTTGCGTCACTGTTTATCAGTTTAATTTCTAACAAACTGAATTTAAAATAATTTATTCAATAATCTGGATTAAATTTATCCAATAATCTTGTTGGATTTCAAAATATTAAACAGACTTTTGAGATTAAATGGAAAAAATTTTAGACGTCTTAGTGCTGACGAGTTTAGTATTATTAACCAGAAAATTTGGTAAATTTAACAGGAAGAAATTAATCAGATTCATCTGGTAATTCCTACAAAAATTCTGGTTTGTCCATTTTTCAATAGACATACTGGTTGAATCTATCAGTATTCTAATTAATGCAACCAGATTTTTTTCTCAGTGTGTATTAGCAAGACGTATATGATTGAAAGCATTTTGGTTAAATCAAACAAGAATTTCTAGTTATCATGATAAAACTCGATTTTTTATAACTAGAACGTTTAATAGATTTTACTATAAGGAATTGGTTAGTATTTTCTGGTTGGATCTATAAAATTTCTTGTTACATTAATTTCTTTGCTTGCCTCTTAATCTAACTCGTATTCAATATTTGCCATAAAATATATATAAAGAACTAGTATTAACATTAAATCCAAAGTATATTTTTATTCTCTTACGAGCAATAGTGCCAGAAAGAGGACGCTAGCTCTCTGATTTGAGCTGCATCATCTTCTTGCATCACTGTTTGTCAGTTCAATTTCTAATAAACTGAATTTAAAATAATTTATTCAATAATCTGGATTGAATTTATCCAACAATCATGTTGGAATTCAAAATATTAAACAGACTTTTGAGATTAGATGGAAAAAATTTTAGACGACTTGGTGCTGGTGAGTTTAATATTATTAAGCAGAAAATTTGTATTTTTAAGCAATAAATTTAACAGGAAGAAATTAATCAGATTCATCTGGTAATTCCTACAAGAATTCTGGTTCGTTCATTTTCCAACAGACATACTGGTTGAATCTAATTAATGTAACCAGATTTTTTCTCAGTGTACCAGAACGTCGATGGGCTGTGTCTTGAGGTCCTCCAATGTCGCGCTAGAGAGACCGATCACGGCGAAGAAGTAGATGAGAACGCTGCTGAGCGCGAGCAACGTGCAACGGCAGAGCTTGAGAGGCAGGCTGGCGAACAGTAAGTATAGCAACAGCAACATCCATCCTAGGCTGTCCCTCGGCGTGACCTTGGTGGTCTTGAGGAACAGCTGTGCGGGCAGGTGGACGATCCACATCTGTCCGACTATACACGGTACCACCGACCAGAGCGAGTTCCTCGCTTTGGTGCCGCGCTCGGCCCATATCAGCAGACCGACCATAAGGCTGAGGAACACGGCGGTGACGGTGCGTGCCAGCAGCTCGATACCCGGCACCGATACCGCGTAGACGCCGTATAAAATCGCCGACATCAGGAAACACGTGAGGCCGCCGCGACGCTGCTGCAGGGACGAAGCGCGGTACAGCTTCTCGAGTCGGGCGCTACTGAAGCTTGTCTTGAGCAGATTCGATGGTCTGCCGCAGTTCAAGTAAGATTCCTCGTTCGTTTCCTGTCGCCGCGACATGGCGTCGATGTTACAGTCCTCGTCGTCGTCTTCCGTTAAAGCGTGTGCCGCGCAACCACAGCACATTTTACCCTTCTATTCGGTCGCTCTCTTCTCTATAGAAACGATCGACCGATCGCGGCACAATCACCCTCGCCACCGTCTTCCGAACGCATATCTCGTTCACGTTCCCGGGAGAACCGTCAAGATCCCGGAGTAATCCCTCGCCGATCTTGAAATCCCGTCTCAGAACGATTCGCAGGTCAGGCGCGGAAACGCGAAATTCGCGTTCGGGATCCCCGGAGCTTGCCGATGCAGATGTTATCCGGAGGCTGCGATACACCCCGAGTATTCGCGCACTCTCGCCTACACACACGCACACACATACACGCGTACACGCGCGCGCGCCCGCGCGCGTCTGTCGATCGCCGGACGAGCTTCTCTCAGGATGCAGCACCCGCACCCGCGCGTAGGGTGCTCCAGCCAGCCGGGTTGCTACTACCGGCGAACAGCTACTACCTCTTCTGCACGGCCTACCTCCTCCACGATCGCGTATATACATCGTCGCCGATATATTCCTCGCCACCCTCCCTGGCACCGTATTCACCCCCGTCTATTTATCTCCGTCTGTCGCGCCGGTTTCGCCACCGTGCTCTCCTTCTCCCCGTGGCCGCCACGTCCAGGGCGTGCGCCCTGCGATCCTGAGGCCGCCACACGACCCTCCAACCCCGGGTCGATATCAACCACCACGAACCCCAGCAGTTGACGCCAGGCTCTACCTGTGCGCCTCCTTCTACCGTGCGCGGTCCTATCGTACGTATATCGAGGACCTGATCTGCGCCCCGCGCGCACGAACTCGCCTCTTCCGTAGATTTCATCCCGAGTTCGTCCCGGAACGGATCGCACTTTTATTTTCGAACGGGCGAACGTAATCGGCTCGCGGGAATCCCGCGGGCACGTTGGCTATATATATGCAGGGTGAGTCGCTAGAAATTGGCATTTCTAATCGATCCTAAGATAGGTGTTTTATGGAAAGATGTTTCAGAGAGATATTTTAATTAGCATGATTTTATTTTAGCCGCTTTACAAATTTCCAAGTCATTTTTTATTATATTTGTTTAGAAGAATAGAATTATGTATTTTTTTTACTTCGGAGAGTCGATTCTTCTCAGTATTTTAGATAAAAATATTATATACATAAGGTGTAATAATAAAAAAAATCAATAGTTTGCAAGATATTTCTTATAATTTGTTTTATCATATAGTAATGTAAGATATGTAATATCTCGTAAAGCATTCTTTCTACTAAAATATATGTTAAATTTTTAATAAACAAAATAATGAGTAGGATCGACTAGGAACTTATTTTTATTTTACAAATGCAGCTTTATATCTGTAAAATGTAGACATATCCTCTTTAAAAAAATGCAATTATATATTTTTATATCAAATAACTTATTTCATTTACTCTTTGTGTACTAAAATTTGTGGTATTAAAATAAGTCATTGTGAAAAATAAATCTTTTAGAAGATATTGCACATTTTACGTTATAATATGTTAAAATAAATTATCAAATTCTATAAATTAGTTCCGTTATGATATATATTTATGTTGCTGTAATATTTATATAAATAAAATAATAAAAAATTGCTTTATATAAAAAGCATATTTTTAAACAGAAAAGATTATTTAAAATATTAAAATATTAAAATCAAACTAATCAGTCTTCCTCGAAATTAAACAATTTTCTGAAATATTTTTCTACAAAATAAATGTCTTAGAATTCAAGAATATGGCAATTTTTGATGACTCACTCTATACATATATATAAAACTACCCTCTTAAGAGAGAAATTGTTCAATCAAGTCATGAATAATAAAGGTTATAACGATCAGTGAATATGCGATTAAAGAGAGAAGAGATAAAGCAATTAATATAAAAATTGTGCAGAAATTATATAACTGAAAATGTTTTCAAATATTGATTCTAATTATATGGAATGTATCAAAACTCGCGCACTCATTCTCTTAATCACAGATAAAGTCACACTCATGAAATTTAGATTATAAGCGTTTGTCTTCTATTTTCTTCATGCTTTGATTCATAATTCTAAGTCAATTATACGCATTAAGACATAAGCTCCTTTTACTGTATTTGCAATTTATTCTTCATATCTAATTACGTCCCAGTTATCGCGGAATGCCTCGTTTAGCTACTCTTTTTTCATTATGAAGCAATTTTATTTCTTAGCGATATTCCAGGAACATTAATCAATCTTAGTCGACGATTAAACCACATCTGTTTCGCAGAATTATCTCTCATTATCATCGTTAGTTTACAATCACGAATATTATCGGGACTTGACTTACTCGCGCAATTCAACAAGCTATATATAAATAAGTTATCTGTTGTGGTATCTGCGTGATTAATTCTTACGATGTTGATGTATTTCAAAAAAAAAAAAGATTATATGAGTTATTACACGCTCATTATTTATTTTTAATAAGCGTGTTTTTATCTTTTATTTCCTCGTCATTTTGTTTTTATTATTCAAATTCATTAATTCCAGCATATTTCTTGCATGTGTTTAATTCTTGCATATAATGTACTGAATATTAGTTGCCGCACTATTTTTATTTCCCACACTGAGAAAAAAATCTGGTTGCATTAATTAGAATACTGATAGATTCAACCAGTATGTCTGTTGAAAAATGGATGAATCAAAATTCTTGTAGGAATTACCAAATGAATCTGATTAATTTCTTCCTGTTAAATCATTGTTTATCAAATTTTCTAGTTAATAATACTTGCCAACATCAAGTCGTCTAAAATTTTTTCCATCTAATCTCAAAAGTCTGTTTAATATTTTGAATTCCAACAAAATTATTGCATAAATTCAATTCAGATTATTGAATAAATTATTTCAAATTCAGTTTGTTAGAAATTAAACTGAAAAACAGTGATACAAGAAGAGGATGCAGCTCAAACACACACAATCAGAGAGCTAGCGTCCTCTTTCTAGCACTATTGCTTGTAAGAGAAAAAAAATATACTTTGGATTTAATGTTAATACTAGTTCTTTATATACATTTTATGACAAATATTGAATACGAATTAAATTAAGAAGCATGCAAAGAAATTAATGTAACAAGAAATTTTATAAATCCAACCAAAAAACCAACCAAAGCCTTATAATAAAATCTATTAAACGTTCTAGTTATAAAAAATCGAGTCTTATCACGATAACTAAAAATTCTTGTTTGATTTAACCAAAATGCCTTTAATTATATACATCTTGTTAATACAATTAAACAATTTTTCTCAATACAGCCATATTATCACGAGTTACTTTTGTTATTTTTACTACTTTCTTTTTAAATAAAAAACGCAAGTAATCCGATCGAGTTACGGTACGTGACTCTTTTAGTTATACGTGTCACGATCTCGCTACAAGAGAGGTGAATTCAACACATTTGAACCTGAATTAATCGAGCACCGCGACGTGCATTAAATCTAAACTCGGATAACAATGCAGGATGAGATCATTTCCCGATAATCGATCGATTGATAAATTGCGAGAAGGAAATCAACCTACATCGCTGAAGGGGCACAGAAAAGCAGCGAATTTATCAGATGAAATCGTGCAGAGAAACACAACGATTCCTATCGCAAACTCGCCATTAGCTTATATGCTATAGGTGTGGTAAGGCACACGATAATTGCGATTGCAACGAGTTCGCGATCGTGCGCGAAAATTCAAGCAACGTGTAACTTAATCCAGATGCTTAGCGGAATATTTATTCTTGAAAAACTTAGATCTACCAACATATATAATATCAAATATAAATAATATAAAAAATCGGCTTAAAATTAATCGATAAACTAAAAGTAAAACTTCTCGGATATGCTGTATATATCCCAATTGGTACAAATTGAGAGGGACGGTAGCAAAAAAGCAAGCGCTAATAATAAAAATGTGCGAATAAGTATTGCAGCGTGAAAGATATGTAAAATAATGCGATTTCAATGTTTGAAAGCCCTAGAGTTCTGGTTTTACTTTTGGCCGAAGGACTCGAGGATCTCGTTCGTGACGACGTATCCCATCTTGTTCATTTGATCGACAACTTTCGGATCCTTGATTAGTGCTTCGATCCACTTATAATAAGGCAGCTCGTTTCTCACACCGCCGTAAATCTTCGGTAGATATTCGGGCGAGACATGCTTGTGAAGACTCTTGTAGTCACCGCCGTGGAAGAATATTCTATTCCGCATGTTTGTGTCGAGCAGCGGTTTGAATACCGTGAAGATAGTGTCAAAAATCCACGATTGATGGATAATGTGCAACTCGTGGATCTTTATGGGAAACGCAGTCACCATCAGAGATAGCATCATAGTTGCCACCTGGAGAAAACAAATTATCTCATGTTACGTCATCAATACATATACAGTGTTCCATTTTAAATAATACGCTCAAATATCTTCGAAACGCTGCGTTAAAAAAATGTTTGAAACAAAAGTTATATGGCTTAAAGAGGGTCATTAGATAGTGGCAATTATTTGAACTTGGAGAGTCATTTGAAGGTCACGTAAAGATCACCGTTAATTTCTTAAATGGAATCTCCTATTTTTTATTACATATTCGTATAGCTTATCTCGAGAGCTTTCCAAAAAACTATAATAAAGTATTTCTTCATTGAGTACTTTTCGAGTTATGAGGCTTGAAATCATTTCTTAATTTTGCATAAACCATAAAATATCTGATAAAATATTCATTTTTCGATTATCTTACCTTAATACTTTTATGTACAAAATAATGAGAGGAATCAATTGGTGTAAAGAAAACAGAAAGTTGTTTTTAAGAAAAAATATGGAATTGTTAATTGCAAATTACATATTTTTTCTTAGAAACAACTATGTGTTTTCTTTACACCAATTGATTCCTCTCATTATTTTGTACATAAAAGTATCAAGGTAAGATAATCAAAAAATAAATGGTTTACTAGATATTTTATGGTTTATGTAAAATTAAGAAATTATTTCAAGCCTTATAACTCAAAAAGTACTTAATGAAAAGGTACTTAATTATAGTGTTTTGGAAAGCTCTCGAGATAAGCTACAAGAATATGCAATAAAAAATGGGAGTTCCCGTTTGAGATTTAAAAGTTGCCCCCCACCCCACCCCCAGGGGAGCGGGGGCGGGGTCGATTTTGGTATCATTCGACGGCCCTCTTCGACAGGAACAACTTTTATTTTGGATATTATGTCGTAAAATGCGTATTTTTTGAGTTATTTCGATTTGTCAGGTTACATGGGACACCCTGTATATATTTTTTCGAAGTAATTATGTGTTTTCTTTATACCAATTGATTCCTCTCATTATTTTGTACATAAAATTATTAAGATAAGATAATCGAAAAATGAATATTTTACAAGATATTTTACGGTTTATGTAAAATTAAGAAATGATTTCAAGCCTCATAATTCGAAAAGTACTCAATGAAGAAATATTTAATTATAGTGTTTTGGAAAACTCTCGAGATAAGCTACAAGAATATGCAATAAAAAATAAGGGGTTCCGTTTAAGAAATGGACGGTGATCTTCGCGTGATCTTCAAATGACTCTCCAAGGTTAAATTATTGCCACCATCTGATGGCCCCCTTCAAGCCATACAAGTTTTGTTGGAAACATGTTTTTATTTAACGCACCGTTTCAGAGATATTTGAGCGTATTATTTGAAATAAAACATCCTGTATACCTATATATTAGTTTCCTTTTTGTTTCCCGATTGCAATTAATGCCAATCAAATCGCGATCCATGCACGAGTGTGACATAAACAAATTATAGATGAGAAAAAAAATGACATTGAGATTACCTGAGGAGTCACGGTCCACGCGTGTGCCATAGTGATATCCTTGAGGTCAAAGATAACGATACCGCCCAGAATCTGCGCTCTAGGCTCGAGGATACCCAGCTCGAGCACGCAAGTCGTGGCCTTGAAGAGCTCTTCGATGGGATATTTACTCGGCTTCCAATTGCCTATCCGGTAGATTAGCAGACGTCTACCGCACTGATTCCTGTACGGTGGTACGGTGATCACGTTGTCGTCGCCAATGTACCTCATCTCCGTCGGGTTTAGCTGCTGATGGATCTCTGGATGTTCCTCTTTGAAGTTATAGTAATTCACGATCTATCGAAAGAAAGTCTCTCATTCATTTTATAAGTTGGAATCGCGTAAACAAAACATAAATATTCGTGCTGTTTATTATGTTATACAGCGTTGAGATAAATTGAGACAAATGAGACGAATTGAGACAAATTATAATTCCTCGAATATCGATGAATAAATTGTTAATTTATTATTCATCGGTTGCATTAAAATTTATGAATAGTCTGTTTGTCTTCTTATGCATATGCAGGAATTTATGATTAAATTGTCTTATGCAGGAATTTACGACGAACCGTCCTAAAGACGGTTTTTAATGGACGGTGATCTAATGGTTTAATGAAACTCGGTTTAATGAAATATTCTAGCTTTATATTATTTAGCTTATTATTTCTATTTATTAATTTTGCTAGAAAATCGCAATTAAAACTATTCGATGGTAATTAGTAGCAATTAATGTCTCGATTACTCTGTTGAAAGGCAATTTAAATTTCGCATTATTTTTTTTATTATTCAATCTCTCTTTAAAATGCTAGTGCACTGTGCTAACACTCGTATTCGATTTCTTACCAAAGTAAATTAGTTTGCCTTGACATAATTGTGCAACGGGTAGTTTACCTCGTATTCACGTTTTATTCACTGAAGTATTTTTAATATTATTTATTGATACCTATAAGTCAAAGCCATTCACATTCTTTAAATTTTAATAAATATGATTGATCTTCGAAGAAATAGCAATTTTATCTTATGAATAAAAAAATTTTGAATAACATGATGAAATGATATGAGTTATCATTATATTATCCGACGTCAAATCATGTTAAATAATTCATTGATATCATCGTTATTGAGAATGTATGATAAAATATTCTAATTTTATTCTTTTTGTTTCTCATTTTTGCTAAAAAGTTATGATTATTTCAAAATTATTCGATAGTAATTTGGATCAATTGATGTCTCGATTACTCGATTAAAAAGCGATTCTTTTATTATTCAATTTCTCCTCAAAATGTCAGAAAATTATCGATTTTTCAAAAAAGCATAGCAGTTTTCCTTGGCATAATTGTGCAACAGACAATTTACTTCGTGTTCACGTTCTATTCTGTTGAAGTGACTTTTAATATTAATTATCGATAGATCCATATAGTTACAGCCATTCACATTCCTTGAATAAATATATTTTTATTAAACATGACGTGAAATTACATTCGTTAATAAATTCGTTGATATCGGTGTATCGCAAGTTGTATAAAGTAAATTAAAGATAATAAAATATAATAAATATCGTAAAAGTGATAAAAAAATAATAAAAAGAAATTTAAAAAAATTATACTTATATAAATATATAAGTATAAATTTATTTTCTTAATACTATAATACTAAACAAAAAACAAATTTGCAAATGAAGATTATCACTGCGATTATGTTGCGTCAATTGACGATTATAGTATTGCGTAAGTAATCATGCATAAAAATGAGAAAAATATTTTTTACTTTTTCAGTATATACCTGATTCTACTAATAATTCTAAAAAGTACAATCACATAGTTAAATAAAAAATTAGACATTATGGAAAATTGAAATCTTTTAAGTGTTCAGATGATATAAATATTTATTACCTGCGCTGTAAATTTTCTAAATAATGTAAAATTTAATACATTTATATACAGTGATATTTTTTACTTATACAAGAGTCTCTGTAATTAAATTTATAACTTGCAAACAAGTTTCACATTATGAGTCAATAGGTGATTCATAATAAAGAAATATTTCTAAGTTGTTGTAAGCTTGTTATAATTTCCAGGAATATAGTTTAATTATTAGACAAATTATATACCTAAAGAAACAAGGTTAATTCCGTCTCATGATGTTCTTTCAGAAAGCGTTTATAAATAAATGTCAGATAAATTGTTCTCTTATATCTCTCTCGAGCAATTTTTTTAATTTCATATAATAATATATAATTTTATATATAATATTAAATCCGATGAGATTATGTATATATGTAATACTATTATAAAGAGAGAGAGAGAGAGAGAGAGAGAGAGAGAGAGAGAGAGAGAGAGAGAGAGATGTATAGGCAGATACATATAGACAAATTTAGAAATATAACATAAAAAAACCAAGAATTTTACAATAATTTCTACTTTTTTAAATTTACCTTTAAATAAAATATACTTAATTATATATAATTATATATAAATATATGAAATATATTATATATACTTATACATAATTTTATATAATTATATATATAACTTTAAAAAATTTTTTTTTTATTATTTTTATTTTGTGTATTTTTATATAATTTCGTATATAAAAATTTTGATATATAAGTTTTAATAAATTTTTCAAAATATAATTATTGTTTTATACATAATTATTTAACAGCATAATAATGTATTTGACAACAGATGATCAATAAAACTTAATTTTCAAGACTTTGCATTTATATTTATTCTGTATGTAATCAAGCATTCAATCTAGATTTTATAATTATGCGTCTGATATATGATCTTCGATTGAATTGCCTGAAAAATAGTTTTCTAATCTTTTGTGTATGTAAATTGTGTATATAATATGTTAATCGTGTATTTAAAATGTTAATAGTGCGTTTAATATATTAATCCATATTTAATGTAAGGTAGTTAATCAATAATATTGACTCTGGAAAAAAAGTAGAAATACATCACAGATTTAAAAAATTGTTTACAAAATTGCTCTCATGTAATTTATATGTGTAATTTATATTATTATAATTTAATTTACTATAAATTTTCATTATAAAATTTATTATTGTTTTTATTGCAAAATCACAATTATAAGTATTTATAACTCTTTCTTTTTTTTTATACAGAATCTTTTAAATGGAAATTTAAAGTATTATTAACATTTCTTTATCTTTTTGTTTTCTCTTTTCTCTTGATTGACATTCCTATTCTTGTACGAGATAATCTCTCATCTACTCACTCTCATCTAAAAACATGTCGATGACAGCATAAATTTAACAATGGAAGCAACTTCTTTTTCTCTTTAATCGATTTAAGTGAACTATCTATTCACTTTTCATCCTTATCTCGTTAATTGTTCATTATAAATGTCAGTATCAGTGTCAGTATTAATATCTACATTTACAACTCACCAGCCTGTGCGCTCTTTTTAAATTAAAGCTTCTGGCGCGAAGAAATCTGATGAGAAAATCATCATCCATCCTATGCGGCAAACACTCGCCTCTTTCTGCCAAAGAATATATATATTACACATTAAATCCTAAACAATAAAAACACAACTTGATAAAATTTTTATCTTATTGTAAGATTATAAATTTGTCAAATTCGAAAGAAAGACGTTTATTTTAATTTAAAGACATCTTAAGAAAAAGAAATCATTTTTTGATTCTATTATTATAATAATAAACTATATTTAATAAACTATATTTAAAAAGATATTGTCACAAACATATAGTTTTTATAGCGAGTAAAAATTTCTGGAAAATTATAGCAATTTAAGGATGTATGAAAAATTTCGATATTTTTATTTGGAATTATATGGAAACTAGACTCTCAAAAATACAATATTAATTATATTGCAAGATATTTATATTATAGAAAATGTTAAAAATAATTTCAATAAAAGCAAATGTGGAAGAACTAAGCTTTTGCGAAAATTACGTTTAGATATTTTTTATTTATTCATATAATTTTATTATGCACATATTTTAAATACACACAGAGATATGTATTTTTAAAAAAATCATATTTTCGAATATTTTTATAACGCCTTTACTACCGTTTATATTTTGAATTTGATTTCTTAAAATATATATAAAATAAATATTAAAGATTAAAGTAATCATTTCAGTTTGCAAAACATTAAAAATCATCCAGAAATATTATTTTTATGTCGAAATGTCCCTAAATTACTCCATATTCTCTTCTTCAGGCATATTTAAAAAACTATCAACTGACAGCACCGACACATCTTTTCCATTTAACCAATCATTCATATCTCAGACTAATATTGCAATTTGAATTACCGTAGATCATGTCGCGTAATTCCTGCAGTGTCTGACACTTGACCTCATCGGTCTCCCCGAGCACTCTTCTAGCATATTCCATGACTTCCGGCGGGATGCTGAAATCCAAACTTATCTGCTCGTCGTCTTGTAACAGCTGATCATCCTTGAGCTCGGGCATCTCGTCCTTGCGAAATTCTAGATTCTCCTTGACATCAGCCTGTTGTTCGAAAGTCCCCCGATCTCTCGAATCTTTCTCCGATTTGTCCTGATGCTTTATCGGGATCGTTTCCGGCTCGACACCGTTGCTGATCGTTTGGCTGTTCTGCGGCATGATAACACACGAAGCGATGGCCTAATATTTCATTCGAGATTTGCAAGATCGTCTCTTGATCGAGATCGTTGCGGCGCGTCAAGAACGAAATCACGCGCTCATTCAATCGTGGATCGTACTGTCACTTGCGCAGCAACCGCTGCTGAACTTGCCTCTGCCAGCTTTGCTAGATAATATCCTTTTATATTTATGGACGTGCGCACAATTATGCAAGACATGTGTATACGTATATATATTTCTTGCGCGCGATCCGCGTAGATAAGACGAATGATAATCGACAGTCTTGCTCGCGCACGACTTAAATTCCGAAAGTATTTTTAGTTTTTACAGGTACAAGAGAGAGACTTCCTTGTCCTTGAAGATCTAAACGCGGTTACAGTAGCGCGAACTTGGAGGGACTTAGTGATTTAAGACGGGCCTGGTCAGATCTATGGCAGCGACGAAATATAATTTCAAAAGAAGTAACTTAAAGATGTTTTGTATGTACAATCCCAGCAAAAAGTAGCTGAAAATCAATATTGACGAATATATATCCACTTTGGTGTATTTTGAGTAAGAAATTGTGTGGAATATTACAATTTAATCAGAGATGTATTTTTTAATATTTATTGCGATTTTACTGAAATATTCCGAATTTTGTTAATCGAAATGATTAACTTTTGATAGAGAATTTCGTCTTGTGACAGATACATGACTTCATTTAATTATATTTAATATCTTTTTAACCAATTAGTACTTGTATAATATTATTTGACCCAATATTTCCCCTGTATCTAAACTTTTACAAATTTTAAACAAATTCTAAATATTATTTCTATGTGTTGTCATTTAAATCGATGTGGTTATGCGTTTCCCATAAGAATACATGTTAATTCGATGCAAATTAAAATCCTCATAACTTGTGAACGCTTTAGTGAATCGATTAAAAATTGTACTGAAGATTCTAAACATATGTAAGGATTCTGTACAATTTTCATTATTCTTCTCAATATTTTTAAAATAGGTACAAAACATCCTTAACAAGAGAATAAATAATCAAAAAATGCATGCATAAGTAAAGAAGAACTTTGTATGAAGAAAAAAAATAATTAACATATCGAAAGTTTTGTTATGTAACACATATTACATAATGTATAACTAATAAATTTGCGTTCGGAAAATATTTTAGATTTACAGAGCTGATATTAAATAAATTGTATATGCGTAGTTTGAAAACTGTTCACTTATATTTCTTACTAGTATACTTTTAACAAACAAACGTTGAAATGTCTCGTAATGTCATTAAAATAAATGACTACACGATTATTGTATCGATAAAGTATTTTTCTTCGACGTATTTAAGAGAAGTGATGAATTCATTATTATATCAATTCCATGTAAAATTTAATTAATATACGTATATATGTTGTTTTGAAATAATATTTATCTAACAGATTTGTCAATATCTTAAAGTGTATCATAAGAGATGACTTTTTTCGTAAGATATCAAAACGATATGATAATTATATGAACTTTCGCAAGAGTTATCGTGCGCAACGATAATTATCTGTCAATTTTTACAATATTAACATCCGGTTTGCTGTTGCAGTAAAATATATTTACACTTTGATCACTAATTTTTCCGAGCCTGCAAAATATATACACATGCGATCAAAATTTATATTTATGGAATGCGTTTTTCCCAATTATTAATATCAAAAGACACTATAATGTTTATATTTAAAATATTTTTAAATATATTTTTAAATATAAATAATTGATTTTTAAGGATGCTTTGTGTATACAATCCCAGCAAAAAGTAGCTGAAAATGAATATTGACGAATATATCCACTTTTGGTGTATTTTGAGTATGAGAAATTGCGTGGAATATTACAATTTGATCAGAGATGTATTTTTTAATATTTATTGCGATTTTACTGAAATATTCCGAATTTTGTTAATCGAAATGATTAACTTTTGGCAGAGAATTCGTCTTGTGACAGATACATGGCTAACTTCATTTAATTATATTTAATATCTTTTTAATCAATTAGTACTTGTATAATATTATTTGACCAAATATTTCCTCTGTACCTAAACTTTTGCAAATTTTAAACAAATTCTAAATATTATTTCCATGTGTTTTTGTCATTTAAATCGACGTGATTATACGTTTCCTATAAGAACGCTTATGAATGTTAATTCGATGCAAATTAAAATCCTTATAACTTGTGAACGCTTTACTGAATCGATTTAAAAATTTTACTGAAGATTCTAAACATATGTAAGGATATTCTGTACAATTTTCATTAAATTCTTAATATTTTGAAAATAGGTACAAAACATCCTTGAATATAATATAAAAATGAAACAGTCAGACCACCCATAGGACGCCTCGTGTTGTAAATATTTAAATTCTTAATAATGACTGGATGAATTAAATCTTTGCAGTGCTGACTTGATCGATATCTTATTACTTTAAAAAGTACTATAATTTATATTTTTCTCTCAACATGCGTTTATAAACAAAAAAGTAAAGATATTATGCAACGAACGATTTGATTTACTGTTTACCGTCCAAGACATGCTGTGTTTCAACGTCGCGCTGTTTCTTCTTGCTCTTTTGATAGACAATACGGCGATTCTACTTATATGTTCATTTAAGCAAAACTAAACAACGCGCGGACTTAACGAGAGGACTTGAACATTTCTTTGCACTTCGAGAAAAGCTTCTTTCGATCGAGTGGGATGAATAGACGGCGCATTCAATTGCCATAAACACACACAAATAGAAGAGATAGAGATTTGAAGGAGCGGAAGTGCACCTTATCAGAACTGTATTATCGAAACACTCAAGGAAGACTCGCGATCGTCGATCAACGTCAAATGGAGAACGACCGGTTCCGAGAGATACGTATGTGGATTTAACTTTTCCTCCGCAGATACACGGGATACACACTGGTGAAGGGTATAGATGCAATTTTCCGCGAGTACGACACTGTATTCGCGCGTTGGTGCCGATCGCAGCGATGACGCAACTGGCGCACGGTTCACCAAGGTGGTACGCCACGGTTCTCCTCTTACTTTATGCTTCACCGTCGAAAACCTTTACGCGAATGTGCTAGGTAGTTGTACGTCTTGCGGTTATTAGTGCGTCTTCTCGCGTGTCCGAGGCCAAGCGTGGGCCGCCATTGCCATCAGGTCCTCGTAAAGCGCTCGAGATACGATCACTAGTCGCTGCTCGCAAGTAATTAAAAAAAGAAAAATATTTTCCTTAACCAGCCATTTTTTTAAGCTAGCTTTCATGAATTTTCCTCCTCTTGATTCTGTTGTTTAACAATTTTATTCAACAGTTTATATAATACACTCCATATATAATACACCATATATAATACACTACCATATATAATACACTCCGTGCTAAAATTTGCAATTTTACGCGAAAAATGAAATGACAAGGGATATTGAGATTAATACGCCATTTTAGTTGATAATGATATTTCTAATGGGAACAAGGTTAAATGGAAAAACTAGATAAGCATGTAAATGTATATCAATTACATTGATAGAGAGAGAAAGTTTCAACCGTTAAATATCCTGTTACTTGAAATTCATCGGATAGAATTTAAATTATGACTTTTTCTCGAAGTTTATATCAACCACTTAATTCTTTTCAGAAGTTACAACGTGAGCTTTCACTTATTCTTAAGGAATCTATAAAGTGAGATTATTGAAAGCGTATGACACATGATATTTTGCGAGCATATGTACATACATATGTGTAAGTGTGTGTATGGATGTGTGTCTATGCGTGCATGCAAACTTCTAATGTATCTTTAAGAAATTATTTAGCATATACTCATTATGCATGACGCATCCGTAGATAGTTATTTGTGATGATATCACGCTATTATTATATACTTAGTGGATAACACTACGTATAATATACAATATATGTATATATACAGGGTATCCCAAAACTCATAATCAATCTTTCAAAGACAGATTCCTGGGATCATTTGGAGATGATTTTTCCTCAGCGAAAATGTCGATGAAGGCCATCATTTTTGCATGTTCCCAATTTTTGTCATCATATATATCTTTGCAATTAAGCCTTAAATTAAAACTCAATTAAACTCTATTTAAAATTAATCGAAGAATATGATTTTGTAATATTTTATTTCTGCAAAGCTTAGTTTACGAAATACCCCTTCTTTCCAGTCACTTATAATTCGAAAATTATTAGTGCCTCGACATTTTCATTGAGGAAAAATCGTCTTCAGATGATCCCAGGAATCTGTCTTTGAAAGATTGATTATGAGTTTTGGGACACCCTGTATACAGAGTTTCATTCACACTCGAATATCTCGAAGCCATGGCAGTTTCGGCGAAAATGTTTTAAACAAAAGTTGTATGGTTTTAAGAGGGCCATAAGATGGTGTCATTGGTTTTACCTTGAAAAGTTGTTTGAAAGTCACGCGAAGATTATCTTCAATTTTTTAAATGGAACCCCCTATTTTTTATTACTTATTCTTGTAGCTTATCTCGAAAGCTTCCCAAAACACTATAACTAAACATTTCTTTATTAAGTACTTTTCGAGTTATGAGGCTTGAAATAATTTCTTAATTTTACATAAACCATAAAATATCGAGTAAATCATTCATTTTTCGATTATCTTATCTTAATACTTTTATGTACAAAATAATGAGAGGAATCAATTGGTGTAAAGAAAACACAACATAATTGTTTCGAAAAATAAATGTAATTTGCAATTTCATTTTTTTTGTCGAGACAATTATGTTTTGTCTCACTAATTGATTCCTCTCATTATTTTATACATAAAAGTATCAAGGTAAGATAATCGAAAAATGAATATTTTTCTAGATACTTTACGGTTTATGTAAAATTAAGAAATGATCTCATAACTCGAAAAGTACTCAATGAAGAAATACTTTATTATAGTGTTTTGGAAAGCTCTCGAGAAGCTACAAGAATATGTATCGAAAAATAGGGAGTTCCATTTAAAAAATTGAAGGTCATCTTCACATGACCTTCAAACAATTTTTCAAAGTAAAATCAATGACACTATCTCATGGTCCTCTTAAAACCAACTTTTGTTTAAAACATTTTCACCGAAACCGCCATGGTTTCGAGATATTCGAGCGTAAAAGTTAAAATGGGACACCCTGTATATAAAAATTATCGCAAAAAGATAACAGATGATGCGACGCGTGGTAGAATAACAAGTACGTGAGTCATTAGTTTAACATTGAGAGACGGAAGGAAAGAGGGAAAAGAGCGAGACGGTACGAAATCGCCGCGGGCTTTTCGTTCCGTGAATATAAGAGGACGGACAATTTTCGACTTAATTTTGCGATATACATTGCATCTGGAGAATTATAGAGAATTATAGAGGCGTGTTGCGAAATGTGTCATGGTCATCCTGTTGCACATCCACAGACCGGCGCTTTCACTAACGGCTACGTTTTACGGAACGATAACGCTGCCTCGCACGCACGCACGCACGCACGCACGCACGCACGCATGCCCAGCGTCATTGCATCTATACAAAAACGCGCGGACAAAGGTCCTATTCTTCGTTGGACGGATCAATAAATCGATTGACGTGCGATTATCAACGAAGGGATTCTGTGCGTAAAATAAAAGAGAGATTTATATATATAAAACTCTTCGAAGACGGAGGACTGTGTCATGATCCCCGAGATAATTCGCATCGCGATGAAATAATCTATCGAAATCTCGAGGAAAATTACACGAATATTCGCACGAATCCATGTGAACGTGTGTCATTATAGCGCACGTGATCGAGCATGAGAATTCATATCGAGTCTGTCGGCACGTAACGATGTCTATGTATGATGTAATCTAATTGTAAGTATATGTTAGAGTATGCTTTCTCCGTCGTTTTTTGACGATATTACATCATGTGTCAGCGCAACGATAAATATAGTTGTCTTGTATTCAGGATGCATACGTGTTATTTGTTCATCGTAATTTTCTGAAATTGTTTGATTTCACTTTCGTCTAGTTCGCACGTTTATTGTATGCACTTTGCGGAACATCGAGGAATGCACACTGCAACGGGCCAAAAGTGAAACCGTAATAATGTTGCAATGCGACGTCTAATCGTGAAAAATATAATATCATGTTAGCGGATATATACTTTCCTGTTGTAGAAAATTGTATTTGTTTCGTTCAAGCAGGTATTAATTTCCTTTAATAAATGTTTGCATAAAATACATAATACAATAAAATATCTCTTGTTGCATTGTTGCAACGTACATCGTATTATTATATTGAATTATATTATATTAAATTTTTATTATATTTATTATTTATTACATTAAATGTATTATATTAAATTAATTATTTATTGTCCTGGAACATTTCTCCAGGGAATTTCAATTGTGATAAAACTGTGATAAGAAAAAATATTCAGCTAAGAAAAGATGCAATGGAGATTTCTGAGGTCCATACATACACAGAAAAAGACATTCTTGTTTTAAAAATATCTTTAAGGATGTTTTGTACCTATTTTCAAAATATTGAGAATTTAATGAAAATTGTACAGAATGTCCTTACATATGTTTAGAATCTTCAGTAGAATTTTTAAATTGATTCAAGGTATAAGGATTTTAATTTGCACCGAATTAACATGTATTCTTATGGGAAACGCATAATCACGTCGATTTAAATGACAAAAACACATGGAAATAATATTCAGAATTTGTTTAAAATTTGCAAAAGTTTAGATACAGAGGAAATATTTGGTCAAATAATATTATACAAGTACTAACTGGTTAAAAAGATATTAAATATAATTCAGTCAAGTTAGCCATGTATCTGTCACAAGGCGAAATTCTCTGCCAAAAGTTAATCATTTCGATTAACAAAATTCGGAATATTTCAGTAAAAACGCATATTAAAAAATATAAATATTAAAAAAACGCATATTAAAAAACATAAATATTAAAAAATATATCTGTGCACTGTAGTTTAGATCAAATTGTAATATTTCGCACAATTTCTTACTCAAAATACACCAAAAATGGATATATTCGTCAATATTGATTTTTAGCTTATGCTGGGATTGTACATACAAAACATCATTAATTTTAACATGGAAAATGTTGAAATAAAATTATATTGTGTTAATTAAAGTAAAATATAATTGCTTGAATAATTGCTTGCTTGAATGAAGCCATTTTATATAATTCAATCAAGAAAAATATATTCTTCTGATTTAAGATTTAATTTTCTTGAATGGAAAAGTAACAATGTTAGATAAAAAATAACATTTTCAAATCAAAGATTATAATTTTCTTAAAGTAGAATTAAATAATTATATATTGTTGAGATGACAATTATAATATTAAAATAAGACCATAATATTGTTTAAATTTAAAATGAATAAATTCTTCTAAGAAGGTTATAAATTGTTGCGTATATATGAAACAATGAACGCGTTAATTTAACTATATAAGTTTGGATTTGACACTTATTTTTTTCCTGTGTATAAGGATGATCCACAGGCTACTCCATTTGTTCTACAAAGTGATTCACAATGAATTTTGAACATCGTGAGGGAATCTCATCGCTATCCTTAATAGTTTTCGAGAAAATAGCTTGTAATATTTTACGTGGATTATCTCGTATGAAGATCGGTTCTCACTTTCGTGGGAAAGACTGCAATCTCTTAGAGTTTTGGTTTTTGCAAAGCATGATAAATCGTCCTGCAAATGAGTTCTCCTTTTTTTACGAATCACGCTGAATCATCCGATGATGTAATAAGTGCTTTGCATCAATCTTCATCTTCTGCGGAGTTGATAATCGAAAAAAATTCACTCTCCTCTCTTGCTTCTAATCGCGAAAATTTGTCGGGTGTACGCGATCATCAAGATAGCAACGCCTATCGATATGCAACTGTGTATAGGTTCATGTAATGAGAACTACATGTTACGGCTTTACGCGAAAGTTTTCGCTAGAATTATTTATTGCAAATTTCCGGCTTTTTACTTACCAATTAATATCTTTTTATCATTAGCACTATGTTAAAGAAAGAGAAATTTCTGATAATATCTTAAAATATCTCGTATAAAGAAGGCATTGCTCATATTTATAAGATAACAGGTTCCTATTGATTAGTGTTCTCATCTAACAATAAAACAACCATTCCGATAAAAACTATTAGAAAGTTATTTTCGTATAAATATATCAATACACACATATTCCGCGTAAGTATTAAGTATTTTATACTGTTTATATTTCTGGTAATTGCGCATTTTGACATCTCAAGTTAAAACATTGCAGCATTATTTATTAACATCGTCGAAATGTTTTAAATTTCATAAGCCGTAAAATCTCAAATCGACAAAGGATTCTTGATCAAAGATTGATACAACCACGATAAAATCTCTCATTATATGAGTTGCATCTTATGCAGCATTAATAACTTCTACATAATTTATTCGTAAATTTCTTTTTTTTATCATTAGCATATACAATCAGCTGATCAAGAGTTTTCGATTCTTCTTCCTTGGAAGATTATTTAATACTCCACTATTTCCATTAAATGTTTAGGAAGTCAAATATGTGTGCATAATTAGTTTTATATTTTATGTTTATGTAAATTAGTGACTTCACTTGATTATGTATACATATAAATTGTAAAATGAAAATATGCGTAAATCGTCTAAACGCACTGTGCGATCATCTCTTTGTTTATCTGGGAAGCGAGATTTTTTACTAGCTCTCGTGAATTAATATTGCTTCAATTTCAATTTATGTAAAACAAACATTATCATGTTATTTTTTTTTAAATATTAATAATTATTTGCAAAGTAATTAATCACTCTATCCTTTGATAATTTTTTTTAACCTTGCTATGCGCTTATATTGCCAACAAGTAATTGATTATTATATTACATTATAATATGTAACTTGGACACACGTAATAATTACATGTGTATCTTTATGCAAGCATTAAATATCTGATTAAATTCTGATGCTAATTTTTTCCTTTCGTGATGCTTTTTATCTCTCTTCAATGACGTTAAATAAAAACATATAATGCAACAAAAAAATGATTGTTCAAAATCACAATTCATGGCCTTCAAAGCATAATTTTATTATTCTGTTTTTTTCATTGAGTCAGGTAAGATTTAAACGTGACGGCGTGATAAATATTACACGAATGTGCGTGTCTTTAGCCGATTTTTTGAATCTCGTATTTAACTTTCGATAACGAGACAACTGAAAATATGCGAATTATAAACACTCATCGTGGCAAACATCAATATTGAGATATCGGACATCATGTCATTTCATATAATTACAGTATTACAGTAAGATATCCATTTATAAACAGAAGACACACCAAATCGAAACCTACAGAAGAAAAATTTCCATCATTTCTCAAGATAAATTCACACGGTTCTTAATGAATACTTGATGAATAGAATTTGAGAAATTGATCAGACTCATTGATCGGAAATATTAACAATTGCGATTCACGTTGATCGTAAAGGACGATCTTGCCGTTTCTTGAGCCGCGAAATTTATTTCAACGGTGACTCACCGGAGAAAAGAGAGTCTGCTGAGAACACACCAGATGAGAATCTCTCTTCCTCGTGATCCTTGCGAGACAACGATCCTGTGGGCACTGATTAGTGAATTGGTAAGCGGCTACTCGAGTACTATACCTCTTCGACCTATACCTCTTCCGCATTTGCGATTCCGACAGCGAGAAAGTTGTACGACCGCCGCGTATAATCGCCTTTCCATCGAGGCCCGATGGAAGGGTCGTCGTTTACTACGCTCGTGAACTCTGAAACCCACTAGTTTTCCTCGAGGGTTTAGATTTATCTCACGTTCAGACTGTTAAATCATCGGCGATCCGCGTAGCGATTCCGGTTTACAATATCATTTTGCGTGCCGCTAATTAGATTAAAGGCATATTGCTGAGTACGTCAAGTAACAGGTTTGCCGTAAGATATTATTTATTTATTTATTATTTATAAATATTATTTTTACTTATTATTTCATACATACACTAAGAAAAAAATCTGGTTGCATTAATTAGAATTCTGGTAGATTCAACCAATATGTCTGTTGGAAAATGAACGAACCAGAATTCTTGTAGGAATTACCAGATGAATCTGATTAATTTCTTCCTGTTAAATTTACCAAATTTTCTAGTTAATAATATTAAACTCACCAGCACCAAGTCGTCTAAAATGTTTTCCATCTAATCTCAAAAGTTTGTTTAATATTCTGAATTCCAACAAGATTATTAGATAAATTTAATCCAGATTATTGAATAAATTATTTTAAGTTCAGTTTGATAAAAATTAAACTGATAAACAGTGATGCAAGAAGAGGATGCAGCTCAAACACACACAATCAGAGAGCTAGCGTCCTCTTTCTGGCACTACTGCTCGTAAGAGAAAAAAAATATACTTTGGATTTAATGTTAATACTAGTTCTTTATATACATTTCATGACAAATATTGAATACGAGTTAAGTTAAGAAGCAAATAAAGAAATTAATGTAACAAGAAATTTTATAGATTCAACCAGAAAATACGAACTAAATCCTTATACTAAAATCTATTAAACGTTCTAATTATAAAAAATCTTATCATGATAACTAGAAATTCTTGTTTGATTTAACCAAAATGCCTTCAATCATATACGTCTTGTTAATACACACTGAGAAAAAATCTAGTTGCATTAATTAGAATACTGGTAGATTCAATCAGTATGTCTGTTGGAAAATGGACAAACCAGAATTCTTGTAGGAATTAGCAGATGAATCTGATTAATTTCTTCCTGTTAAATTTACCAAATTTTCTGGTTAATAATACTAAACTCGCACCAAGTCGTCTAAAATTTTTTTTATATAATCTGAAAAGTCTGTTTAATATTCTGAATTCCAATATGATTATTGGATAAATTCAAAGAAATTAATGTAACAAGAAATTTGATAGATCCAACCAGAAAATACTAACCAAATCCTTAAAATCTATTAAAAGTAAAATCTATTAAACGTTCTATTTATAAAAAATCGAGTCTTATGATAACTAGAAATTCTTTTTTAATTTAACCAAAATGTCTTCAATCGCATACGTCTTGTTGGTTTACAATCAAACGATTTTTCTCAGTGTACAGATGAAAAAAGAAAACTGATGCGAAAGAGAGGAAAGAGGAAGAAAATAATTCACCCTCTCGTGTACAATTGATAAATACATAATTACACTTATTATTACATCAAAGTTTGTAATTGGGCATTAATAAATAACTATAAACTAAAAAGAGGATGAAGCTGATCAGTAGTCTTCGATCACATAATTAATGTGCAACGGACATATTTAGCAATAAGTATCGCCGTTGATATTAAGCACAAGCGATTTGATTGTGAAACGAGGCTGTTTCATTAATTTCCGGTGTAATTAATGAGCGTGTGTGTATGAAATTATAATACAATCAGTAAATGAGATATTAATTTATGATGTGAGATGTGATGGTGCGATCTTCGTAAATCAAATTAATCAATATCGGCTTATCGATTACATTCGAGATATTGGGTTTTACGGAAATGACTATTATTTTAAGAAATTAATAATTGGCGTAATAATACAGCGTAATTAAATATACGTAATAATGGTATCCTTTCACGAGCCTTTAATTTGTGATAATCCTAAATTGATTTGGTGAAAATATTATCCGTCTGTTGACCTTTATTTAATAGTTTCTGGTGCAACATTTTAATGGAAATGTGATATAAATAAGTGTCAAGCATTTTTCCACTTCTTCGTTTGAAAAAGAAAAGAGATTACTTCGGCTCGTCATATTGTTAATGTGATGTAAATCAGAGGAAAAAATAATCAAATCTCATTCGACAACAGCATTTGTGTTGCTCTATGTAGTTGTAATTCTCATCTAATGGATAAAAATACGAAAGAGAAGATTACGACGCTTGCTACAAACCACTATGTTAAAAGGAAAAAATGCATGTGGTTGAATCGGTCGGACCGCACATCTAGAGACCTACGGCATGATTAATAATAAACTGCATCGTCATACTTCCATTTCGCACCTTGCAAAAATCATCGATCGTTTCGTTACGTTATCGTATCATCAGGATGTTCGTAAATAATAAACAACACGAGCAATAACATATGTCGTGGATTTAATGGCAAAGTTATTGTAAGAGCAAAAATGCAAACATTTGATTGAAACTTGCTCTCATTTTTTTTTATTACTAAGAATTATTCCTGTTTCATTAAAATAGTATTAATCTACAGCAAATATTTAACGAAAAAGATTTTATCTACATAAATTATTATTCACTATTATTCTGCAACATTTTATAATTATATATTTCTAGAAAAGATAAAATTTAAAATAAGATCAAAGATAAAATTTATTAAATTATTGTAATAAAAAAATCATAAGTTTTTTAGACTTAAAGAGATATTTAAATAAAATATTTCAAATAGATTATCTTTTTCTTTGTATGACGATGTAAATCCGCGCTATAAAATACGCAGTGTGTTGTTAAGAAGAAAAAAATCACTGGGTCTTCGTGATGAAAATTGCGTTTATATTATTTGAATCTTTGTGGCTCACTTTTAATCGTAAATAATCTGTACATCGAAAGTTGGCATGAATCTTCATTGAATGATTTGTTAATCGAGAATGTTATTAATTCGACATATATTACATTATTTCATTAATATTCAATAGACCTGACGTATTATTGATATTGCGCAGTCACCGATTATTTTATTTTCTATTTTATGATAATATGTATATCTTATTGAATTGATAATCATGACTCCAACAATGAATTGCAGTGACGGTGCAGTCTGGCGATGGAATTATTTGCGATGATCGCATCGGGCTATATACCTCGGGCGATGTATCTCGATCACAGTCCAAGTATAAACGCACTGTTGAACTTATTTTATTCGCCGTTTACGCCTTTAAAGTGATTTTTCGATCCGCTTTTATCTCACCTGGAAAAATCGCTTGGAAAAATCGCCTGGATTACAACAAGTAAATTAAAGATGTTTTGTATATACAATCCCAGCAAAAAGTAGCTGAAAATCAATATTGACGAATATCCATTTTTGGTGTATTTTGAGTATGAGAAATTGTGTAGAATATTAAAGTTTGATCTTAGTACAGAGATGTATTTTTAAATATTTATTGTTTTTACTGAAATATTCCGAATTTTGTTAATCGAAATGATTAAATTTTGGCAGAAAATTTCGCCTTGTGACAGATACATGGCTAACTTCATTGAATTATATTTAATATCTTTATAACCAGTTAGTACTTATAATATTATTTGACCAAATATTTCCTCTGTATCTAAACTTTTGCAAATTTTAAACAAATTCTAAATATTATTTCTATGTGTTTTTGTCATTTGAATCGACATAGTTATACGTTTCCCATAAGAACACATGTTAATTCGCTGCAAATTAAAATCCTTATAACTTGTGAACGCTTTAGTGAATCGATTTAAAAATTGTACTGAAGATTCTAAACATAGTAAGGACATTCTGTACAATTTTCATTAAATTCTCAATATTTTGAAAATAGGTACAAAACATCCTTAATCGAAATGCTTAACTTTTGGCAGAGAATTTCGCCTTGTGACAGATACATGGCTAACTTCATTAAATTATATTTAATATCTTTTTAACCAGTTAGTACTTGTATAATATTATTTGACCAAATATTTCCTCTGTATCTAATCTTTTGCAAATTTTAAACAAATTCTAAATATTATTTCTATGTGTTTTTGTCATTTGAATCGACATAGTTATACGTTTCCCATAAGAACACATGTAAATTCGGTGCAAATTAAAATCCTTATAACTTGTGAACGCTTTAGTGAATCGATTTAAAAATTGTACTGATGATTCTAAACATAGTAAGGACATTCTGTACAATTTTCATTAAAATCTCAATATTTTGAAAATAGGTACAAAACATCCTTAATCGAAATGCTTAACTTTTGACAGAGAATTTCGCCTTGTGACAGATACATGGCTAACTTCATTGAATTATATTTAATATCTTTTTAACCAGTTAGTACTTGTATAATATTATTTGACCAAATATTTCCTCTGTATCTAAACTTTTGCAAATTTTAAACAAATTCTAAATATTATTTCTATGTGTTTTTGTCATTTGAATCGACATAGTTTATTATTCGATTATACGTTTCCCATAAGAACACATGTTAATTCGATGCAAATTAAAATCCTTATAACTTGTGAACGCTTTAGTGAATCGATTTAAAAATTGTACTGAAGATTCTAAACATATGTAAGGACATTCTGTACAATTTTCATTAAATTCTCAATATTTTGAAGATAGGTACGAAACATTCTTAAATGCATAGCGAAAGGTAATTTATCTGTTGCATGAAGACGTGTAATTGCGTCAAGGATGAACAAATCTTTGTCAAAGTTAACTGATTGAATTTATAATATTCGTATAATGAGTAAAACTCATACTTAGTACCGTAGTTTTCTTCTCATTATAAACTCACATGAACAAGAAAATATTTATGAAAGTTGATTTATATATCATATTGACGAAGCAGCATTTATACGTCTCATTGGCGAGTATCATAAAATGCCTTTTCTTTGATTAAGTTATAATTATGAATTGCCTGCTCTCGAGACAGAAAATTGTTTCTTCTTCTTTTTAATTACACAATGATTTTAGTGTACCATCGAGATTCTGATCTCGTTTCCGGTTATACGTACACATTTTCCATTGTGCCAGGCTAGAAAGTCTCGCAGCAATAACGTCTTGAGAATGAAATCTCTTATTACGGAAATTGCCATATTACGAGATGATTATGAGAGACGTAAAGAATTAAGAGATGTGGAGAATCCGCGAAATTATAGCTGTCACGCGGATGCATACTTGCTACTCGCGGGTTAGCTTAATGAGTAACATAATGAAGGAGTTTCACAACGGAACGCACATTGTTGAGAATTCATAAAGATAGCACTATCAGAGAGATGAAGATGGATTTGAATAATTGAAGAGATATTTATGGAATTTCGCTATTTATAAAAATGCCTTATATTGCATTACTTTGTAATAGCAATAAATAGGCATAAAATCAATTTTTTTTTCACAAATATGAACATTATTATCGCTTTGTTTTTGAAAAATTCTCATTATTCTTCTCATTATTCTTCTCTTAATTCTTTTTTTCATCTTTTCAACTTTTTATCACGTACACACACACACATGCGCGCGCGCGTATATATACAGGGTGTCCCAAAAGTCTCGGACCGGTCGAATATTTCATAAACTATGTACTTTAGAAAGAAATGTTTCAGACAAAAGTTATATGGCTTGAAGGAGGCCATCAGATAGTGACAATGATTTGACATTGGAGAATCATTTGAAAGTCACGTGAAGATCACCGTCAGTTTCTTAAATGGAACCCCCTATTTTTTATTACATATTCTTGTAACTCATCTTGAGAGCTTTTCCAAACGCTATAATTAAATATTTTTCTATTAAGTACTTTCCGAGTTATGAGGCTTGAAATCATTTCTTAATTTTACATACATCGTAAAATATCTTAATAATCATAAAATATTCATTTTTCGATTATCTTACCTGAATATTTTAGGTACAAAATAATGAGAGGAATCAATTGGTGTAAAGAAAATACATAGTTGTTTTTAAAAAAAATATGTAATTTGCAATCAACAATTATATATATTTTTTCGAAGTAATTATGTGTTTTCTTTACACCAATTGATTCCTCTCATTATTTTATACATAAAATTATTAAGATAAGATAATCGAAAAATAAATATTTTACAAGATATTTTACGATTTATGTAAAATTAAGAAATGATTTCAAGCCTCATAACTCGGAAAGTACTTAATGGAAAAATGTTTAATTATAGCGTTTTGGAAAGCTCTCAACATGAGTTACAAGAATATGTAATAAAAAATAGGGAATTCCATTTAAGAAATTGACGGTGATCTTCACGTTACTTTCAAATAACTCTCCCATGTCAAATCATTGCCACTATCTGATGGCCCCCTTCAAGCCATACAACTTTTGTCTGAAATATTTCTTTCTAAAGTGCATAGTTTATGAAATATTCGATCGGTCCGGGACATTTGAGACACCCTTATATATATACGTGTCTTATACAATATAATATTTTATTCGGAACAACATATCTCATATTCTTGATGAAATTAATATACGTAGAATGTTGTTATCCATTAAAATGTTCACGTGACTTTTGATATCATACTGAAAGCCGTCTAGCGGTGACTAGACATTGCACACGTGCATATATACATGATCGTTTAAAGCGCTTATGTAATTCCTACGCGTTGAACTTTTACTAAATGATGGAAAGACCATTGGGTAGCTATACTCGTAGAAAGGGAAATCGTCGCTCGGGAGATTAGAAATAAATTTATTTCAAGTCGGAAGCACACACACCTGGAAAGGCGCCGTGTACAAAGTACACACTGTCGGGGAATCGTAAAAGATCGCGAATACACATGTATACACTTAGCGCGTAGACATGCATGTGTATAGGCAAACAAAACCTTATATTTCTTCGTTATACAAGCAATAACGTGAGAGTAAGTAGACATGCATTCGATTATTCGGCCATTGACTGTTGTATGTAAATATAAAGCTTGTAATAATGCAGAGGCCTTGTCTATATGTCGACCATAAGCAAGTCTATTTCAAGAGAATCAACAGAGAGGTGAATATTCTGTCTCAATTGTAAAATCTCCATTCCACGAATCTATTCCTATTCCAATAAAACGGACCTATGTTACATATGTCTTGCAGATTACACTAATAATATAATACATTAAAAATTCAATCAATAATATATTAATATGTTAAACAACTCGACTTTCCACATTTATACATATCTCATTTTCATCTTAATTATCAGTTTTATCATTATTATATTTTTTCTTTAATTATACAAAAAATTTAAATTAAAAATTTAAATAGATGTTGTATTTAAAAAACTTTTATAAAGAAATAAAACAAGATGTCGTATCACGTATAGCTACGTATAGCTACGGATATATTCTTACAATTGAAACAGAAAAATATATTTATATCTTTTCCTTTTACTCACTAGAACCCTTCCATTATTATAATCTCTATGCATGTACACATTGGATCAATGGACGATTAACGTAAGAAAGTTTATACGTACTTTACGTATTAATAAAATGTATATATGCATGTATATGCACTGAAAAAAATCTGGTTACATTAAACAGAATTCTGGTAGATTCAACCAGTACTCTCTAAAAATGAATCAGTGTATTATCACTATAATAAAAATATAATCAGTGCTGTACTTATAACTGCTTATAATCAGTGAGTATTTACTGTTTTTCAGTGATAATACATTGATTTACTCTAGTGAAAGTAGAATATATACTACTTTCACTAGAGTAAATCAATGTATTATCACTGAAAAACAGTAAATACTCAATGATTATAAGCAGTTATAAGTACAGCACTGATTACAGTGATAATACACTGATTCACTTTTAGAGAGTATGTCTGTTGGAAAATGGACGAACCAGAATTCTTGTAGGAATTAGCAGAGGAATCTGATTAATTTCTTCCTGTTAAATTTACCAAATTTTCTGGTTAATAATACTAAACTCGCCAGCACCAAGTCGTCTAACATTTTTTCCATCTAATCTCAAAAGTCTGTTTAATATTCTGAATTCCAACACGATTATTGCATAAATTCAATCCAGATTATTGAATAAATTATTTTAAGTTCAGTTTGTTAGAAATTAAACTGATAAACAATGATGCAAGAAGAGGATGCAGAGAGCTAGCATCCTCTTTCTGGCACTACTGCTCGTAATAGAAAAAAAATATACTTTGGATTTAATGTTAATACTAGTTCTTTATATACATTTCATGGCAAATATTGAATACGAGTTAAGTTAAGAAGCAAGCAAAAAATAAATGTAACAAGAAATTTTATAGATCCAATCAGAAAATACTAAACAAATCCTAATAGTAAAGTCTATTAAACTTACTAGTTATAAAAAATCGAGTCTTATCACGATAACTAGAAATTCTTGTTTGATTTAACCAAAATGCCTTCAATCATATACGTCTTGTTGGTATAATCAAACGATTTTTCTTAGTGTGCATATATATATATATATATATATATATATATATATACACATATATATTATATATATTTTTGTAAAAGAAAATTATTTGCATTTATTTTTAATACTGGTTGAGAGAGAGAAATATGTAGAGAGAAAATTATATTCATTTAATTATCGCTACCACTGTGTCGCATCAATTGCGTTATAAATATTAATTGGATGCACGTATATCGACGATAGATAACTATACAAACTAATGCAGAAGCAGAGTTAACAACCACGCATAAGCGAAATCTAATGAAATCCATTCTCTGCATCAGGAATCTCGAAAAATAAATGCTTCTAATATAATGCTAATATAATGCGAGAATGTGTGTATATATGTATATATATATATATATATATATACATATACAATGTATAATATAAATATACATATATATATACAATGATAATAAAAATAAATGCTTCTAATATAATGCTAATATAATGCGAGAATGTGAGATATATATATATATATATATATATATATATATATATCTCACATTCTCGCATTATATTAGCATTATATTAGAAGCATTTATTTTTATTATCATTAATAGGATATATATATATATATATATATATATGTATATATATATATATATATATATATATATACATATATCCTATTAATGATAATTTATAGCGTAATCAGACATAATTAATTGGTCGCTTTCCATTTTTAATATCGAATTTTACAGAAAATTAGATTATGCAAAAATAGAATTTCTGGATCTTCGCATAGATATACCAGTATTGACATTTCATAATTTTTAAGTATTTTACTCGATATCTTTTGAAAATGATTTTGATAAATCTGATGTTGTTACGTAAATGAAATACTTTCTGCGATAGAATATATTATGTTAAGTATCACGTTCCAGTTTGAATTATGCCGATTAAATTGTTCGTTTTTATTGATCCACTTGCGCAATAAGCCGACATTATGTTTTTTTTCACATGCGTCATTCTGATCATTTTTTGCCTCATGAATATATAATATTATAATCTGCAACTGAACTTTAACATGTAGAGTATAAAATTAAAAAAAAAGAAACTACTTTGTTTTCAATTTCTATAAATATCGTTCAACGATTATTATAGATCGATTATAAATCGAGATGATTGTTTTATTTATTCTCGAATGAGAATAGAATTAACATATGAAAAATGCCATCAATATGTTTTTTCAATTTTGCTATAGGTACAATTATATTTAAATTTTTAAAGAATAACATCTTTGGTCGCATTTTAATGTAAATAATTAAAAAATTATGTATCCTATAAATGTATACAGAATTTGAGAGGAGCTTGTGTATAATATCAAAAGAATCAACGAATTTTGATAACAATATACTTCTTAGTTTTTGTTTAAAATATCAAATATCAATATATGTGTGTGTGTGTGTGTGTGTGTGTGTATGTGTTTATTTAATTATTTATAAGAAGCAATAAAACATTCTATAAAAAGCTCTCCAATTTTGTCACTATTTTAAGATATACGACGCATACATTTTTAAAAGAAGACCGATTTTAAAAAATAGATCGATTTTGGTTACATAAATATAGATCAAACCCTGAAATTTACTTTATGAATATATGAAATTCTAAATTTATTGTTTTAATAATTTTGATTAATTCAACCGGTCTGTTATTGTTATTTTGTCATTTTTTCTTTATTTATTTTTCATTATTTCTTTCTTTAAATTTTTTAATTGCCTTCCAGGCCTCTTTTCAGTCCTTTTTCACATTATCACAGAACAAAATGTAATATTTTTTATCAACATGTTTCAAACTTAAAAAAAAAACAATAAAAATAAAATAAATATTTATTAAGCAACGTGTACTTGATCTTTATGTTTTGTTTCAGTAATAATTATATTTTCTCATATTTCGCTGACGCTTACATGTTTTGTAAAGACGCGCGTATGCAAAATTGAGTAAAAAAAATTGGTCAATCTAATATGGCACAATTACAAAGTATAATCAAAATTCATTTTTTTTTTAATTTTTGAAAGAAATTAAAATGCATCGATGTTTGGATTTTGACAAATGCGATAAAGAATCTTGTTTTTCACACATTCAATTCCACGTAACAGATTTTAATTCGCAATGCAAATTTGAACGCGAAACTTTTTTCTCAATAATTATACTCTTTTTTCTAAATAATTACTAAATATAAAGATTTTTTTGACACATACAACGAAATATACACATGTAAAGATACATTTATCTCTAAATAATTAGAAAAAAAAAATTTTAAACCGTGAATGCGATAAGATGGCTAATTATGATTAATAAAAAAAATACAATTATTATAATACTTGCTGCAGATTGAATCTCTTTTAATTGAACGTATTAACATTTTTTACAGTCGTTAAATATGTTTGTTAAATTGTTTCTTTCATTACCATTTCTAATGATATATCTCAAATTTCAAAACACTCTTAAATGTTCATAGACTTGATATAAGGAAAATTGAAGTTTATTCCAGATGCAAAGAATCTGTTGATCGGCTTTTATGATTCATCAGATGTATAATATAATATGTTCCTGGAATATTCGATCGCACATCCTTCGACAATACATCTCGTTATCCTCCATTAAGATTTTTTTTAATTACTTGTACATCTCGCGTTTACTTTAAAAATAAGAATAAATATAAAGAATATAATATAATATAAAACGTGTTACACCGCACATCACCACAAACACACACACACACACACACACACACACACACACACGCACGCACACTTCTTATACAACTTTACTCTGCAATATACAGTAAAAAGAGGATTGTAAAAAAAATAAATTTGTAAAAATTTAAAATTTATATCGTATGTAATAATTTTTTATGATAAAATCTTGATAAAAAATTATAAATAATCTTTATCATAAAAAAATATTACATACGATATAAATTTTAAATTTTTACAAATTTATTTTCTTTACATCCTCTTTTTGTTGTATATTGCAGAGTAGAGTTGTATAAGAAGTTATTGACACTAATCTAATTTTTAATGTATTAAATCGCTGATAAAAATTGATATAAGATATTGTGACATATTGAAAGAAGACACGATTTAAAAATTCGAAGACATTAAATTGAATAAAAAAAATATTTAATTAAAATATACTATAGATTTTGTATAGATTGTAATTTGTTTTCTTTTTAAATAAACAGGATTTACGTGTGTGTGTGTGTGTGTGTGTGCGCGCGTGCGCGTGCGCGTGTGCGTGTGCGTGTGCGTGTGCGTGTGCGTGTGCGTGTGCGTGTGCGTGTGCGTGTGCGTGTGCGTGTGCGTGTGCGTGTGCGTATGCGTGTGCGTGTGCGCGTGTGCGTGTGTGTGTGTGTGTGTGTGTGTAATAATAAACTTGATTCATTATCATATGAAAATGAAGCATTATCTTATTGTACATTATTACATAAATTTCAGTCCTATTTAATTTATTGTCAGATAAAATCGGAATTTAACTTACATCTAAAATAGATAGGATTAGGAATTTAAACATTATGTGAGTTACCTCTCTCCCAGCTCTTTTCCCAGCAATTCTTCAATTCTTTTTTGTATAACATATATATAAATATATAAAAAGTTAAATGTGATATATTTGAAAAATTTAACATTATTATATATATACAGGATGAGTTTTAATGCTTGTGTCAATCTTTTTATCATGCGGGAGATTACCGACTGCATAATAAATTGATCGCGTACATAAATGTCAATTATTTGGATCGATCGTATCTAAGGTCCGAATATAATATGTACAATTAAAGCAAATTAATAGCTGAAATTATGTAGTATGGATTTATTATTATTATTATTATTAAAGCTACATATGTACAATTAAAGCAAATTAATAGCTGAAATTATGCCGTATGGATTTATTATTATTATTATTACTATTATACATAATATATTCGGGCCTTCGATATGGTAGATTCAAATAATTGACATTTATGTCCCGATCAATTTATTATGCCGTCGATAATCTCCCGAATGATAAAAAGATTGACACAAGCATTAAAACTCACTCTGTATATATATATATATATATATATATATATATATATATATATATACATATATATGCTTTTCCTCGCAAATTATTTTTAACTGTATATTTTTCTCAAACAATTTATAGTTTTTTTAAGTCTTTTTCTCTTAATGAAAATTTGAAATAAAATCATAATTTTATCATAATTTATCATAATTTTCTTTAAGCAATAATGCGTTAAAAATGGAAAATGTATTTTTGTTAAGAGATTTGAAATGAATGATAAATTATTATAAAAAATTGTAAATAATAATTGTATAATGCAAAAATTTATATAAAATATAGGAAAACGAAAAAAAAATAGAGTATCATTTAAAAGAGATTAAAGTAACGAAAAAATAAAATAATATTTCATGTAATTTCTAATATCACTTTTTGTTTTTTTACTCTCTAGCTAGGTTATCGCGTATAAATTATCGGAATACATCAAGAGGAAAGAAATTTGCAATAGTGAACCGAATGAAGAAAAATAAGATGATAAGGATATACATGAGTGGCAGTAGTGACAAACAGCAAAAAGCTAAGATCAGAGAGAAATAACGCGAACTTCATTAGCCCATTTATTTAAGGAAAGATGTGTCGTTAGATTAGCATTCAACATTCGACTTTGTAAAGTACATGCCATCCATTCGCTAGAGAGTGCGAGTGAGTCAATTACTTTAATCGTTCTGCTCTTCAATCAGACAGTACCAGTCGGATCTTCTATTGGATTCGATCAGGATTGAATCAATGGAGTCAAACAGCTTCGAGATTATGTTAATAACAATACCACCAGGTACGAAATTTATTTATCATTATTCTTAATGCTAAAATCTCGTAATTTACGTAATAAAATATAGAATCTTTTTAATTCTTTAAATTTTTTTATTTACACTTTTCTTTCATATTTATATGTATTTATCACAAGCGGTATACAAACATTTAATTTTTACGGCTTTAAAAGGGCAAATATAACAAATGAAAATAAATATGTATATATTATATATTATATACATTTATTTTTATTATTATTATATATTATATACAGGGTGTTCTAAAAAGGTATGTCAAAAATTTAAGGAGATATTCCTCACACTTGAAAGATGAAAAAATGTTATATGGACATAGGTGCGGAAATGCTTATTTCAGGAGTTACGTTGAAAATATTGTTAGCTGTATTACTTACACAAGGAAAAATTTAGAATTAATTATTGTAAATGACAATCGTTTAATTAGGCTTATTTACATTTGTTTTAATGTGATCTTGAATATGTTACAATAAATGTTGAAAACCGTTTCCCTGCTTGTATTCAGGAAAATGATGAACATTAAAACCAATTGTAAATAAGCCTAATTAAACGATTGTCGTCTACAATAATTTATCCTAAATTTTTCCTTGTGTGAGTAATATGGTACAGCTAACAGTATTTTCAACATAACTCAAATAAGCATTTCTGCACCTATGTCGATATAATATTTTTTCATCCTTCAGGTGTGAGGAATATCTCCTTAAATTTTTGACATACCTTTTTAGAACACCCTGTATAATAAATTTATACTATATATTTATTATATATACATATATATATATATATACAGGGTGACCCATTTTAACTTAGGCAGCCAAATAACTCGAAAAATAAGCACACTACGAAAAAATGGTTAGAATCAAAATTTCGTCATTTCGAGGGGGACGTACAATGACGTTAAAATCAGCCCCCCCACCCCTCCCCCTGGGCGGTGAGGGGGGGCAAGTTTGAAATCTTAAATGGAACCCCCTATTTTTCATTGCATATTCTTGTAGCTTATCTCGAGAGCTTTCCAAAACACTATAATTAAGTATCTTTTTATTAAGTACTTTTTGAGTTATAAGGCTTGAAATAATTTCTTAATTTTACATAAACCATAAAATATCTAGTAAACCATTCATTTTTCGATTATCTTACCTTCATACTTTTATGTACAAAATAATGAGAGGAATCAATTGGTGTAAAGAAAACATATAGTTGTTTCTAAGAAAAAATATGTAATTTGCAATTAACAATTCCATATTTTTTCTTAAAAACAACTGTATGTTTTCTTTACACCAATTGATTCCTCTCATTATTTTGTACATAAAAGTATGAAGGTAAGATCGAAAAATGAATGGTTTACTAGATATTTTATGGTTTATATAAAATTAAGAAATTATTTCAAGCCTTATAACTCAAAAAGTACTTAATAAAAAGATACTTAATTATAGTGTTTTGGAAAGCTCTCGAGATAAGCTACAAGAATATGCAATGAAAAATAGGGGGTTCCATTTAAGATTTCAAACTTGCCCCCCCTCACCGCCCAGGGGGAGGGGTGGGGGGGCTGATTTTAACGTCATTGTACGTCCCCCTCGAAATGACGAAATTTTGATTCTAACCATTTTTTCGTAGTGTGCTTATTTTTCGAGTTATTTGGCTGCCTAAGTTAAAATGGGTCACCCTGTATATATATATATATGACATAAAACACAAGACTTTTTCGTAACAATTACAATTATACATTATTTTTTTATTAAAGATACATTATTCATGAAAAAATCAATATTCACGATGAATAAATTTATTAAGTTTATCAAGTCTATTCGCAACGAATCGTATGAAGAAAAATATTATAGATTAATTAAGAAGTAATGATTAATTAAGAGGTAATAGCCGCAACAAACGGTGGAAAGTTAAGATCAGAATAATGCAAGTTTCATATCCGTTTGTACATATAAGAATAGATGTGTCGTTAATGAATGTTGCATTAGTGCCACTTTAAAATACACGCTATTTACTCGCTTGAAAGTCGATTAATTTAAACAAGTTGCATATATCAGACGGACAATACTAATCAAATCTACGGATTCGAGGAAATCAAATCAATGGAATCGAAGCTTCGAGATAATAATAATATTGATCAAGAGACACGGTAATGTCTCGCGCCAAGTTCATGCAAAGCATTAACGCGACACTCCGTGTATTTATATATGCGAGTCGGACAGTTGAGAGTAACTCAGATTATCGAAATTTCAATAACGGCTGAACGGATTGAATTCTTACTAGGCTTAATCGATAGAGCGGGTTTGAATTGTATAAAGAAAGTATCTTTATTTTTGTGCTGCGTGATTTATAAACGAAGAGATATCATAACGCAAAGTCGAAATATGAAAATTTTCAGTTAAGAAACGTCTTTATGGTCATCAACGCACATGTACACAAATACATGGAAAGAGAAAACGTACATTTCCTACTCTCGACAGAAGATTCCACTAATGACGCTTTGCGATATTTGTGATATTAATGATATGTGTCATATCATTAATATGACATGTATCATTAATTGCATTTTGCGTGTTAAATATTTTAGTGATAAATAATAAAGTATAAGTTAAATAATAAATAATTAAATTATTAATTAAAAATTCGCAAGAGCCAGTAAGGTATGATAATTGGAGCGCAAGGTAAATAAATATCTTCAAAAATTTACCTTTTTTAAAAAAAGATAAAAAAGGGTGCCAAGTTCATGTACTAATTGTATCCAACTGTCATATTGTCTACAAAAGTAGTGATACAAAAAAATTGCGCCAACTAAGAATAAAAATATGTACAAGATAAATAGAAGTACAAGGAAGAAAACTTGTACAAGTTAAATAGAAATATTTTAATTGAAAACAATGTTATACAAAATAATTGTTTTAATTTTCAAAAATAATAATATTAAAAAATTAAAAATTTATTTAAAAATTGAAAACTGAAAAAATTAATATAAAACTAAAAAGTAAAAAAAAATTTAATTAAAAAAACTTGGCACTGTCAATTTTATTAATATATTGTTCAGCTTAAAAGTCTAAATTTCCAAATGTAAATCAATATAAATTAATTAAAGAAATTAGGTCATTAAATTTAAATGTTAGACTAATAATTGGAATATGTTCAAATCTTTTAGATTTCCATACTATATAAAGTTGATAAAATAGAAAAAACATAAGCTTGAATAAATCTCATAGAAATTAAAAGTAAAATAAAAAGTATAATTTGTGAAAATAATATGAGAATTATAATTAAATTATTAATTGAAAATCCAGAAGATCTTAAGAGAGTTAATAATAAATGTCCAGAAATTATATTTGCTGTTAAATATATATTTAATTAAAATATATACCAATTTTATTGGCAGCGCCAAGTTTTTTTAATTAAAATTTTTTTATTTTTTTGTTTTATATTAATTTTCAATTTTTAATAAATTTTTAATTTTTTAATATTATTATTTTTGAAAATTAAAACATCTATTTTGTATAACAATGTTTTCAATTAAATAAGCTACAAGAATATGCAAAAGCATATAGGGTGTCGCATTTAAAAAGTGGAGAATCTTCGCATAATTATCTTCCGCGGATAATCTTCACATGACCTTCGGGTAACTCTTCGAGATCAAACTAATGACACTATCTTATGTCCCCCTCGAAACCATACAATTTTTGTCTGAAACATTTTTTTTTGAATTGCTTCGTTTCCGAGATATAAATTTGTAACACTTTACGTGGGCCATCCTGTATATATACAATAAATTATAAAATTCAAAACTTATATAATATAAAATTATAATATTGTATAAAACAAAGAAACATTTATAACAATTTTATTGTTGTTATTTGATCAAAGATTCATTATTCATGAAATAATTAATGTTTACAAAAAATACATAAACTGTTTACTAAGTTTTTATTCGCATCCATTTGTGTTTCTTATAGCATTTCTTATAGCATTTCTTATAGCATTCATAGATTCATGGCAATCAATAAATACAATTCCAATATTTTCTCTTTGTAAAGAATATTTCTTTTACAAATATATTCAAAAAACATTTTTTTCTTCATTAATGGAGGAATCATTAGCATATCTCTTCTTCGCGAGATCGATTTTCAAACAAAAAATATAATAAAATGAAAATTTTGCACAATGCTTATTTATATTCATTTATATTGATCATTTCGATTCAAGGCGCTGACGTGATCACCGTTCCACAAATGGAATATTTATACGTGACGTGTTGTGTCCGATAATCATCGGTCTGACAATATATCGATTAATTGGTCGCATCTACCGTCGCATTCTACCTGTGTGCGTCAGTCCCTCCATGGGATCGTATTGTTTACTGCCATACACGTGGCAACTTTGATAGTAGAAACAATTAAATTACATCACGTTTGCATGCGACAAGGTAAGTCGACATGCGCTTGCGGAAAATCGACACGGCCACTGCCTTACTACCTGCTTGACCCTGAAGATCAGGACGTATAAGAGCGCTCGTCCGTACGATACCGGCCGCATTTTCGTTCGTTTTTTGGTGTCGCACGGATCGTTCGTTTCACGTATCATCCTCGGTAGTTGACGCATTTTTAACTGATACAACCGGTAACGATATTCCCGGCACATCATGGCACTGATAGCAAGTAGTGAGTACGAGGCAATTTTCTTAAGCAAAAGTGCATCTCTCTCAGTGATCATACATAATCCATCAATCTTCTCCTCGCTCGAAAATGTCACGTGTTTTATACGTCCGTAAAGAAAGAGTTGTACAAGTTATAAAGTATACACGTCGAAAGCCATATTAATTTACATTTAATATGCGTTTCATAATTTAATAAAATAAAACGCTATAGCTGATTTATCTCGAGCAGAGCAAATTATATCTCAATGTGACTATTAAGAAATACACTTGATTAATTAAATTAAATTAAAATCAAAAAAATCATGAATGAAGTCTAAACGAAAGCATTTA